AACATTCTAAACATCAATACAAGCCAGTTTAAAACCGAAAACTGAGCTTATTTGAAGAAATTCCCTTAGAAGGCTCATGTTATATTCTTATTTGTTATTCTAAAGTTATTTTAAAGTCATTCTAAAGTTATTCTAAAGTTTTTGAATCATATTTGTCAAAATCATTTAACTAATCCAGTTTTCCAACCAATTCTGAACTCATTTTCAAATCAAAATCTCAATCTAAATCGCTAAGCGATCAAAAGATTTAGCTTTAGATTTTTTATTTAGCTTTAGATTAGCTTTAGCTTTAGATTTAGCCCTAGATTTAGCTTTCAACCGTTTCAGCAAAAGAAAAAAAAAACAGTGAAAGAGCTAAATCACTTAAAAATTGATGGTTTTAAAAGTTTATAATTCAATTTATCTCTCAATTCACATTTTCTCAACACATTTTTCTCTTACTTGTATCGTTTTTCAGCTCTCTAAGTATATCTAGTTCAAAATTTCACCGACTTTGCAACGAAAACAATCTCTCCCTTGCATCGGAAATTTTTACGATTTTTGTGATATGCAGATTGTTTGACGAACCAGGGAGAGGCTCGAATTCACGTGAATTTCCCGGCGCACCTAGTTGGGTGGAGATGGCTAGTTCAGTTGACCACATGACTCTTTCCTTTTCCCCCTCCCACCGATACCAATCTTGTTTCCCTGTGCACCCCGGTCATGTGGGTGCTCATTGTTTGTCGCCAACACAAAATAGATTTGCTGATAAATGATTACGATGAGCCTGCGATGAGTCTGCGATGAGTCTGCGATGATTGGGTGCAAAGAATACAATAGTCGACTGCACGACAATAGCTGCAAGAAAGAAAGAGAAAGGAGGGTTCAAGGAGGTTGAATTTGATGCTTGAATTTGATGAGCTTTGTGAATGATGAGGCTTTATGAATCTGCTAAAACGGTATACTAAATCGGAGAAGCCAAACGAGCAAGAGTCACAGCCAAACGAGCGAGCAAGACTCACAGCTAAACGAGCAAGAGTCACAGCCAAACGAGCAAGAATCACAGCCAAACCAGAGTCATAGCTATCAGTTTAGTTTAGCTTATCAGTTTAGTTTAGGTATCAAAAATCAAATATCTTTCAAACTTTTCAATTCATTTTCTAGTGAAATGAGTAAAACGAGTTTTTGTTAACAATTTTTAGCATTTTTGAAACAATTATCATACAAAATGCTAAGAATTGTGTAAAAACAAGTTAAGTTCAGAAAAGATTTTAAAACAGGCAAGCCAAAGTGTAATTTGATATAAAAGGCAAGCCAAACTGGTTTCACAATTTTGTACATCCGGTACCAAGTGTACTGAACCAAAAAATAGATGCTGAAGCCACTCAGCAATCACTGATTCCAGATCAAAGATCTGAAATGAGTGATTGCTCTCTAAGAAGATGAGACTCTGATAGACTAGATTTATACGGTGAAAAGAACCCTCAAGAAACCACTAAACCACCAAACCACAAAATCTATCTTTTTATTAAACCCAAGTAGTAAAACTTCACCGCCAACTCATTCCCTAGCAATACTTTGATCCATTTTGTGTAGTCCTGTACTCGGAACCTTGCCCTTTCACAACCCAAATCAAAGAATCGTAAAAGCTTGGCCGTCTGCACTTTGTCCGCCTTGACTCCAAGCTTGCAAAATACAAAGTAGAAAAGTTATCAGTGTTTGAGATACGGTAACTTTTTCAGTTCATGATCAAAAGCAGTTCAGAGTTTCGTCGACAGATTTGTCGATTTCCTTGTTTAGAAAAGATTTCCTTGGAAAAGAGATCATTGTCTTTGTGTCTATTGTCATTGAAAAAATTGTTGTTAGCTTGGATTTGAAGTCTCTTCTTTCTTTAAGTCTTTATTCACTGGAAAAGTGTCAAGGTTTCGATTTTTAAAGCGAAAAACATTTGGTTTTGGTAAAACTCATTTGGTAGAACGCATTTGGTAGAACTTTGTAAGTAATTTGATGGCTTTGATCAAGGCTTTAATTCAAATAAAACAATTGAAACCAATTTTTGATTCAAAACAAAACAATTGAAGCCAAGCCAGTCCATAAAGCTAACTTTTGCTTGAAGAATAACTACAAGAATCACTTGCAAGTATAGAAATAGGATCGCTTGATCCCATTTCTATACTTGCAAGTGATTCTTGTAGTTATTCTTCTACTTTGTGAGCAGTTTGATCCAAGCAGCTGGCCAAATGCATCCAGATCAGATCCAGATCAAATCCAGATCACAATTCTACAAATTCTACAAACTAGTTTGCAAAGTTATTCCTGTAAAAGCTTGCCGAAATCTCATGTTTGCTTTCTGCTTTTTTTCAAATTGGGTTCGATTCAACAGACACGGGGAGCACGCTTCGAGCAGAGAACATTTCGCACACAGCTTGGCTGTGAGCAGTGAGCTTTTTTCGGGGTGGCTGTCTGATGCAATCGGTGAGCACTCACAGGGAAGAGAAAAAACCGATCATCGGGGGGAACAGAGCGAATGCACTCCAAAATAAAATACCGTATCTAAATCATAAATTTTTGTGCTAAAGTCATCAGTCTCAGAAATTTCCTAGCCTTTCCAGTTCTTTTCCTTTGCTTGAAGAAGATCTTGGAATGTGCCGAGCGAGCAAGTTCTACGATCTTTTTCCAAAGATGAAAAGATCATCTTTGGTGCAGAACTTCCTCAACGCCAAAGAATTACAGTTTTTGATGAAAACTCGATGTTTTGCGAAGAGAAAGTTCGATGCTTTGAAAGAGATTTTGTTCTAAAAATTTCCCCAAAGATGAATGAAAGGATAACAATTTATTTATGAATAAGAAAAAGCTTTTCATTCACAATCGTGGTCACAAAAGAATGGCCAAAGAAAAGTCAAATCGAGATTCCCCATTTTCCCGACTTTTCCCTTTCAAAGTCGATTGAATGGGGAAAATCTTTGGATAAAAAAAACGCCGGGTTGATCCATTCTCAGCCCACATCCACCCTCGCACTGATCCGCCAATCTCGAACTAATTGCTTAAATTCTGTTTGTCTCTATTGTGAAAAGTGAGATTTGTGATAATCGGGTCTTTTCGCAGCAGAATTTTGGGTGGGAGTGGAGAAAAAGAGAAAGGAGGGAGCCCCAGGGGAACTCCATGGAGAAGGGGCGGGGCCAACCCTCGCCTCTTCTACCCGATCAAGGTCCCACCTTCAAATACCGGCTCTGATCTGAAAGAAACTTTGCTGCACTTGCATTCTGAGCTTTATTTCAATAATTTTACTACAGTTTCATTGTCGTTGTAGTAGTCTTTTGGTCAAAGTTGGAATCTGGTTTGATCCTTCTCATATCAAAGAGAATTTTCAGTTCTTTTAGCTCAATTCAGCCTCAATCTCATTGTTGAATTCTCAATGTTTGATTGTTTCAAATTGTTGATTAGATTGTTTGAAGTTGTTGATTAGATTGTTTGAAGTTGTTGATTAGATTGTTTGAAGTTGTTGATTAGATTGTTTGAAGTTGTTCATTAGATTGTTTGAAGTTGTTCATTAGATTGTTTTAAATTGTTGGCTAGATTGTTTCTTTTTGTTTTAAAACGTTTACTAGATTAGTATCTTTAAATCTTTGTTGTTTTTTTGTTTTAAAACGTTTGTTAAACTAGTAGCTTTAAATAGCTATAAGCTAGTAGCTTTAAATCTTGAAATTTTCAGTATCTTTCTTTATCATTATCGTTTATCAAGTATCAAGTATCTTTTAGCTTTCAATATGATTAATCTTTCAAGCTCTTTCAATCTCTTTCAAGCTCTTTCAAGCTCTATCAATCTCTTTCAATCTCTTTCAATATCTATCAATATCTATCAATATCAGCTTTTAATATCAGCCTTTAATATCAGCCTTTAATATCAGCTTTTAATATCAGCTTTCAATATCATCTTTTAATATCATTTCAATATTATCTTTCCCATTTTCTCATCCATCCATCAATCTTTCATTTTAGCTACTCCAAAACTTACCTCAATGAGGTTAACTTAACTAGCTTCTTAAATGGATTCAATTCATTTCCAATTGACTAGCTAACTACTGCTAAATTCGTTTTACAAACGACTAAAAAGATTTTACTAAAGCTGTAGATGTAGATGCTTATAACATCTACATCTACGGCTCTCTGGGAAATGGAAAACTCCCATTTCCCAGAATTCCCCAACTAGTACTCGTCACTGTTTATACAGGCTACGAATGGCCAGCTCAAATGATAAGAGAATATCGGTGTTCCGAATCGGTTCCAATGTGAGACTGTCCCCTTTCCCCGCTCTTTCTCTCAGTGCAGTCTCCTGTCTGATGCAAGAGTCATACGGTGTTTCACTATTCCCCGAGACGCGTGCTCACAGCGTGGCTCTTCCCACCCACAATCGGTGTTTTCTCCCCGAGTTCTCTCTCAAATCTCTCAAATCTCTCAAATCTCTTCACTTTTCCCATCTTTTTCTCCATTTGTCAGCAAACACTTTTTTTGGCTGAGTCTATTAAAGGAGAGAGAGAGACAGTGATGAGCTCTGCAGTTGGTCATGAGTGAACAGTGAACTGTTTTTTTGCAAGAATTGTTTCATTTCCTTTCCTTTCCTTGTTTCATTCTTTATTTGGGAGAGTTCAAATTGTATCACTTTTAAAGCTTTAAAGTTTTCCATTTGTTGAATCTGGTCTAGATTTTGTAAGTCAATAGACTTACATCAAGCAGACTTACAGCAAGCAGACTTACAACAAGCAGACTTACAGCAAGCACTTACATCTGAAAACAGCAATAGCTTGTTTTAAACAATAGCCTGTTTCCAGCAATAGTTTCATTTCTGAATGCTGATTTCAGCAATTCAGCAATTGCTATCCAATTGTCCAATTGTTTATCTATTATTCAATTGTTTATCTATTATCCAATTGTTTATTCAATTCTTCTCAAGCTATTGTTCTCAATCTTTCCCAAGCCTCTTAAACTCCAATTTCCAGTTCACCAGTTCTCCAGTTCACAAAATGACCTCAGCCTTTCTCGAGAAACACGACTCGATCGACAGTCAACGATCAAGAAAGCGACAGCACTCGGATGATGTCGATTTGTCAGATGTGAGTCTAAAAATTTGCATTTAATACTGATACTGATACTGATACATGCAAAGGTTTTGTCTTTTTAAAAATCCATCCACTAAAACAATCGTTCTCGTTCCATAGTTCATTCATCCGCCTCTGCAACTTTCCCCCATTCCCATTTCCTTTGCAATTTTCCCGTTCATCAAAAAAGTTAGCATAAATCCGATTCTCATTCTTTTCATTGAAATATACAAAAAAAATAATTCAAAGAATCTATTGAATGGAGATTTTTCGTTTTCTTGAATCTCCTAGAATTCCCTCAGATCTTCCCCCGTCCTCTCCTTTTCCTCTTCTTTTTTTTTCTTCTCCACTAATCCGTTCTTCTCATCCACCCCCACCAAGATTCATTTCTTTACAAATTTATTTTTTGTAAAGGATTTCCCCACTAATCTCCGATAGAAAAAATGTGGTTATAAGCCAAAAAAATCATCAAAAATCCGGATCGACTCGAGCGGGGAGCTGAAAAATACCGGATATTCGAGATTATTGGGATCTAGAACCCTGGGATTATTGGGATCTAGAAGGGTATTCAATTGGAAATCAAAGGGATAAACTTTATAAATCAATGGAAGGTTGTTGAAGGATGATTGAGAAGTTAGAAAGTAGTAAGTTGCTCGCAAATCTTGCAATGAGTTAGTTAGCTGTTAGTGTCAGCTGTTGAGCTGTTGGCCTTGGAGTTGTTGGTGTCAGATTGGCCCACCATCTTCTGTGTGGCTTAATAGCTCAACTTATTAGCTCAAGAGCTTGACAGGCATCAGATAACTTTACGATAACATCAGATAACTAGCTAACTTTGAATCGAATCGAAGAATCGAATCAGAATCAAATCAGAATCGAATCAGAATCAAATCTTATCAATAGAATTTCAGGATGACATCATCTCAACTCCATCCGTTGAAGAGGATCGTCGCGCCCACCACAATGAATTAGAGAGAAGACGGAGAGATCATATCAAAGATCATTTCATGACATTGAAAGGAGCCATTCCGTTGCTTGATGGAGAAAAGGTACAATCATTTCCCTAGAATCCCGAATATCTTCCCATTTCCAGTCCTCCCGTGCTCTGATTCTTAAACGCGCCGTCGAGTACATCTCCATACTTCAATCGAAACTCAACGAGAATCAAATGCACGTCGAGCAGTTGAAGCGACGAAATGAACAACTTGAAGCTAAATGTAAGCAAAAGCTGAAAATTTCCAATTTACTGTTTTCATTTCAGTGTGTCAACGCGAGCAATTGGTGGTCGATCCGATGATCTCGTTGCAGAGCTCGCAAATCTCGCAAATCGCCACCACGTCAGCATCGAGGCCGATCCTCTCACTCTTGCCTCTAAGCACAGCTATGCCGACAATTCCGGTGCCTACTAGGTTAGTATTAAAATGGGTTTAAGGATTTATTACATGTGGAAAGTTTGCAAAAAATTGTTCTAGAAAGTCCGCTAAATATTGTTTAATGAAATTCTTGATTTAAATTGAAACAATATTCTATAGTAAGCTTTTCGCCTAAAGCTTTTCTACAGTAGTAGTGTTTAATTGTAGACAGTCATACTATAATCGATTGCCACTGGATATTATAATAAAGAAGTAAAGGAATTGGCAAGAAAAAGTAGATTTCCGGAGAGGGGAACCCTCGACTTTTTGAAGATTGACCTAAACCGACCTAAACGGATCTAAGGACTTTTCGATCTAAACGGACAATTGCTCTAACCACTGAGCTATCGGGGAGGGAGGGGGGGGATTTGTGGGGGGGGGAAGAGGGGGGGGGGGGCCGCCCAAAGGGGGGGGGGGGGGGCCCCCCAGGGGGGGGGGGGGGCGGTGCCTTAGCTTGCCAAGAGAAAGAGGGAAAGACATCATTAGCTTGCTGAACTAGTTATCAAAACTTTTCCCGATTTTACAAGCCTTGAACTCTCAACTGCTAGCAACTCTAAACTAGCCTTAGCTAGTCCTTCGAAACTAGCCCTTTGAAACTCTCCAGCTGTTCAGAAATTCGAAACTCATCCATTCGGCAATGATTGATTTACTAGCTGCTATAGTTTAATGATAAAATCCCATCCAACCCTCTCATTCCATCCATTTTCAGCCCTCCTTCCATCCCAGCACTCCCTGGTCTCTCCTTCAACAACCTTTCCCCATCGGATCTCCTCCAATTGACCCAAGCCATCCTTGCCACTTCATCCACCTCGACCCTTCCCCAATCCTCTCCACCATTCCCATCACCGATCTCCGCCCCATTCTCATCTACTCCACTTTTCTCGCCGAATCTCCAAATCCTTTCGCTAAACGAGCCAAATTTCTCAACAAATCGAGCCATGACTGTACCGTATTAATTTCCCGATTTCTCATTCTTTACCTCTTTTGTTCATTTGGCCCATTTGGTCCATTTGGTCCATTTGGCCATGTCCATTTTCCCAGGATTTCCTTTGATCTCATGTATTCAGCTCATTTTGACTCATTTGACTTTAGAGATTCCTTTTCTCGGCACACATATCTGTTTAGATCTTTTCTTTTATTTGTAAATACTCAGAAAAGGAATAAATATGAAATCATGACTTGTAACATGACACAGAAAGAGGGAAAGACATTGCAGAAAGCAGAAAGACATTGCAGGAAAGACAAAACATTGCAAACTATGAGCAATTCTTTATCTGGGTTCAAAGCTGTTAGTTCTGATTGAAAGAAGTGAAAGACAAGAATTTCTCTTTTAAAAAAAGGGTAATTTAAAAGTATCAATAGAAAAACTGAACAAGCTGCTTGCTTAGAGAGTGTTCCTCTCAAGCAAATGTTCCATTCAATGAAACAATTACATCTTTGCATTTACAATTTTTTACTCAAACAATTGTCAAGTAATGCACATTCTAAATGTCAAGTAATGCACACTTATTCTCCTAATCGAAACATATAACTTAAAAAAATAATTTTCATTTTATTTTCTGTTAGTCAAACGTGTATGGTGTAACGTAATTTACCGTAAATGCTGTATTATTGGGTTGGTGAATTGAAAACTGCGAGCTATTGTCATATGTGACAGTTTGAGCACTTTCTTCAAAAGAAACCCATTTTAGTGTCAATGGAAAAGTTGTAGAAAATCAAAAATCAAGCTTATATCCAAATTTTCAGAACGATTCAAAAACTGGTTTTCAAGAAATGCCAAATTTATGAATTTTGACAAAAATTGCAACAAAACTTGCATTTTAAGCGAAACTACTAAGTGCATCTTTTTGGAAATTTGCCTATAAGCCTGATTTTTGATTCTCTACAACTTTTCTATTGACACCAAAATGGGTTTCTTTTGAAGAAAGTGCTCAAACTGGGATCTCCAGTCTCCATCTCCAGTCCTCGATTTTTGAGTCTCACACTTGTCTCACACACAAACCAAAATCCTACTACGAAAGAGGAATCCGCAAATTGCCTGTAAAATGGGCAGAAGTCGTCAATAATAATGGAAATGATTTGGAAAATGAATTCATGGTTTTATGTTGAATAAATTTTAGTTCAAAGTTCCGCAGTTTTCAATTCACCAACCAAATCAAATTTGTGATCAGTAAAATTTGTGGCCAGTAAAATCTGTGATCTATAAATTAGTTTAAAAAAACTCCTTTCCACATTTCCAGGTGTTGTCCAACGTTCGCGGCTCACCATTCTACTGCGACAACACCGATTGCTTGGAGAATTCAATCAAATACACCGGGGTACTAGTCTTCAACTTTATTATCTTTGTTTGTGCGCATGCTGGAGCAACTTTTCAACTTGTAACTTGTAATCATTCACCAATTCATACTTTACTCGCGAGGAACACACTCTACTCAACGCTCTGCCCATTTCCCCAATCAAAATTCAATTGATGCCGGTTGGAAAAGTCGATCCACAAAGTTAAAGCTAAAAACTAAAAAAGAACATAAAGTGATTGATAGGAAATGCTCAGTACTTCACAGAACTTCATGCTTGTCGTGTTCCTCGTATTTGGAATAAGTTACCTTGTGATATTTTTTCGTCTCTGAACTATTTTAAATCCTCAATATATAAGCTCGATCTTGTAGCTCTGTCAATTTTAAATTAGTTTTTAATGTCATATATACGCGTGTCTAATTGTAGTTGTGTTTGTATATCAATTATCTTTCTTCGTCTACGCTGTTCAATCTGTTTGCATTGTCACTTTTCCTTGTCGGATAAAGTATATATATATATTGTTTGGTAATTCTTTTTTGTCACAGAAACCAAAAGACAAAAAATAGAGAATGAAAAGTTAAGCAGATCGAGAAATTTTCATAAAATTTCCCTAAGCGATTTTCATTCTATGTCTATTGTAAGAATTTTTGAGAAAAACAAGAATTCCTGTTCGGATTTGCTTCAAATTTGACTTAACTCAAACTCAAATTGACTCAAATTTGCCTAAAAATAAACTAAATGAAATAATTAAACTTTTTTATTTAAAGCAAATCGTTTATCGGCTAATTATTCATTTATAAACGAGAATTTCAAAAAAAGATGGACAATATTTTTGCGGCTAAACTGATACTTTCCGAATGGGTCTCAAGTTTACCGCAAAACCCTCGAGACTACAATTAAAGAGGTGAGTTTAGGAAATCTTAGAAAGCCTCCATGAAACAATTATGACAAATTGAGATCCTTTCTAGCATTTTTTTACCCTCTATTCACCGCTTTTTGATCGTCGGTAGTTCTATTTTCAACAACGAGCCCCAAGTTTTCTCCACCTATGAAACAAAAAAACAAATCAAGTAATTACTTCTGCTCGAATTTCTCGTTTTCCAACTTTTAGAGGGAAAAGAGGCATAGCAGGGGCAAGGCTTGTCACTTTTTGGCACTCTTTTGGTGGGCCTCCTGCTTTCCCCTCTAAAGAGAGGGCCCTAGTAAGAGTCCAGCCATTCCCCTCTCCTCCTCACTCCTCCATCTCTCCTCTCCTCTCCTCTCCTCTCCTCTCACCCATCATCCTATCAGCATCCATATCCCGTTCTGATCCAATTCCCTCTAACTGCTAACTGAATCTCTTTGCCCGGATTTTACTCCCACATTCCCTACAATGCCGCTAAGTTGTGGTGCTAGGGCACTAAAGTTTTCATTATTCATTTTTAACCTCGTCTTTTTGGTGAGTTTTTTTTGAGCAAGTTGAAAGGGGAAACTTTTGTGGTGGGAGAGCTAGGAGAGTTTATTTTAGCCAGCGTTTTCTGAGTGAACTTGAAACAAGCTCTTTGGTTTGGGGAGGGGCTTTTGGGCCGGGGGGGGCCCCTTTGGTTGGGGGGGGGGCTTGAGACAGAGCTCTTAGCTTGAGACAGATCTCTTAGCTTGAGACAGAGCTCTTAGCTTGAGACAGAGCTCTTAACTGCAAGTTGTGAATAGAAAAATGAGAAAGACTAAAACAACAACAACAAAAACAGAAATACTTCAAAATTTTCTATTCGATTGAACAAAGCTATATGTAAAGCAGATTCTTTTTGATCTTTTCCGATAAAATCATTAGCATTTGAAGCTCTCGGTAAGTAGATTTTACAAGTAGTCCTTTATCAGCTTCGTTATCAGCGCTATCAGCTTTATCAGCTTCTGCAATGAACCCTTTCTCAAGCTGTTTTTTTAGCATTTTCCTCTCAAAATCAGTTAGCATTGTTGTGGCTTTCCTCTTTTTTTAAAAAAGATTGCGTGTCTTTCTCTTCTCGAATCCTATCCATTATTCTCGGCAGTTGCACCCGAATTGGCCCTCTCAACCGCAAACTGACTGACAAGAAGAGGGGGAACTTTAAAGAAAAAAAAAAGACAAAAGCAATGTCTTTTGGGATTTCTTTATCTTATTGGCATGAAGAATGTTGAGAGGCGATGAAGAGGGGATCTTTGAGTTTCGAAAAAATAAGCAACAGTAGTAAAGTAGCAAAGTAAAGTGATTAGATTAACGGCAAAGATTAAGGCAAAGTTGGGTTTTTAAAAAGCTAGAAAATTAGGGAAAAAACTAGGAAACTAGGAAAAAAGCTGGAAAATTAAGGAAAAAACTAGGAATCCAAAACCAAATTCGGAAATTTGGATTCATTCTCTCAAAGCTCGGCTCGATTGTGAATAGTTTTGAACTTTTGATGGCTTGGATTGGCTTGGTTTGGCTTGGCTTGGTTTGGCTTGGCTTGGCTTAGGCTTGGCTTAGGCTTGGCTTGGCTTGGCTTGGCTTGGCTTGGATTGGCTTGGCTTGGATTGGCTTGGCTTGGCTTGGCTTGGCTTGGCATTGGCTTGGATTGGCTTGGCTTGGCTTGGCTTGGCCTGGCTTAAAGCCATTGACCTTTAAATGGCTCAATTTTGAATTGTTTTCCAAATTAGCATTATTTCTCAAGCCCAAGTTTTACCAACTATTATTCCAGATCCCTAGTTACCAGGCCATTTTCTTTTGCTCCAATTTTTTCAACCTAGACAATTGAACTTCCCTAATCCTTCCTCATAGCTTTGTTTTTATGAGAAAAGTTGAATGGGTTGAAAAATATTTCTGAGTGCAATTTGAGGCAAAAGGGATGATTCGAGAGAGCAACTGTCATTCTTTGCTTTTCTCAATTGAAAAGATTGAAAGGATCGAAAGGCGAGATGGGTCTCAATCTTTGTCTTCTCTTCTTTCCATATTGCACCTTGGCATTTGCTAAAAGAAAAAGGGAAAATGGGTTCAATCTCAGGGAAAATAGGATGAGAAAAGAATGGTTAAGAAAGCTGAACTTTTCTCTCATAGTCACTGGGATTTAAGAGCGATATCTGTCATCGGAGAGGTGCTGGATTGGGTAAGGATCAATGGAAATGGATCAATGGATCCAAGATCAATAGATCCAAGACCAATGGCAATCCAAGACCAATGACAATCCATTGATCTTAGATCTTCCATTGATTTGGTTTTTTAAAGAATGATGGTCTTTTCTCTGGCTAAGTTTACGCTGGCTGACAGGCTTTGGCTCTAGATAAGTTTACGATAGATGACTGTGATTTTTAGCATCAAGTTTTAGCGGGTTGAACCATCAAGTAATAGGGACAAGTTTTAGCTGAAAAGTAACACTTCAAATTTTTCTCAGAATGGCTTTAGATTCAATTTTCTTGAACACTATCAAACAGCTTTCTTTCAACTTTCTATGGCTTAGTTTTTTGAAGGAATGTACTTTATTGACTAGACTTTTATATAAGCCAAGTTTTTAAGCTCTAGATTTCTTTAAGCTCTAGAGTTTTAAGTTTCTAAGCTATTTTAGCAAGAGCAAGAGACAAGCTCTATTTCAGCAAGAGCAAGAGCCAAAGCTCTATTTCAGCAAGAGCAAGAGCCAAAGCTCTATTTCAGCAAGAGCAAGAGACAAAGCTCTATTTTAGCAAGAGCAAGAGATAAAGCTCTATTTTAGCAAGAGCAAGAGCCGAAGCTCTTTACCAACTAGCTTTAGCAAGAGTTTAAGCTTATTGTTAACCAAAGCTTTAGCAAGAGTTTAAGCATATTGTTGGTCAGCTCAAATCTGATTTGTTTATACAATAGTGTTCGCAAAAGTTTCATCCACCCAACCTCAATTTGGGTAAACGAACCGCAAAAGAAAAACCCCAAAAAGAAAGCGCAGGAAATTGGCCTTTGTTAGGCGTTCGCTGATTTCGAAAGAAGCTTAAAGACAAAAAAAAATGGGGTTCGTTTAGAAAGACTTTTTCCATAAATTTGGATTGACATTGTTATTTAGAAGACAAACTGGGATCTTGTTTGTTATTTTAACAATGAGATTACTATTTTAATAATGAGATTACTTTGAATACAATGAGATTACTTTGAATACAAAAAGCTAAAAGGATTACTTTGAATACAAAACGCAAAAAGCTTCAACAGCACACTTATGAACTCCATTTTTTATTAGTGGAAACATTTCTACAAAATAAACAGCTGAAATCTTTAGTTATGCGGTCTAGTATGCGTTGGTATGGGCACATGGCTATTGGTGGATCAATCGGCACTTGATTCGATTGCTTTAGCCACATCGAAAGTTCAAGGCTACGATCAAGATCCCGGACTTCGAGATTTAGTAACTTTTCTTGATCTAACAATGAGAATATAAATAGAGTGAACTGACAGAAAGAACTTACAGGGTATAAACGTGGTTTTTAGATTTTTAGCAAGATTTTTAGCCCAATCGGTATACGAAAAATTAGGGTCATTTGAAGCTTCGTAAATACGAGCGTCCGGCGCGATATAGATTGTCTTTCAGTTCATGTTTTTTTTTCTATTAATTTGGTTTCTTGGGGTCATTTTTGGGTCATTTTTGGGGTAATTTCCGCCATTTTATTTGCGCAACAGGGTCATTTGCGCAACTCGCCATAACTGTCTGCTAAGTCGGCCAATCTTTATGATTTTGGTTTCATTTTGTTACACTTGTTGAGACCTACAGTGAGCAATTCTCGAGTAACATTTGTATAAGTAATCTTTACTCGATTAATTGACGCTTTTGGTCGAATAACTACAAGTAATTCTCTTTACCCGTCAAGTCAATTGAATACCTTTACATTTGAAGAGAATTTGCCTAAGTCGGCCAATCTTTATTATTTTGGTGTCATTTTGTAGATCTCAATAAGTGCAACAAAATGACACCAAAATCATAACAATTGGCCGACTTAGAAGAAAGTTATGGCGAGTTGCGCAAACGACCTAGTTGCGCAAAAGATCCAGTTGCGCAAACGACCTAGTTGCGCAAAAGATCCAGTTGCGCAAAAAATTTGGCGCAAAGTAGCCTATCCCGGTTTTTTATGGTCTTTTCTCTGGCTAAGTGATGCTAAGTTTTCGCTGGTTTGTTTGTCAGTTCATGAAATCGTGCTTAAAGGGCTTCAAAATCTCATTTTTGCTTTTTCTATGTCATAGAACATAAAGAAATTTTTGTTTAAACTATCATGGAATCTAATTTGAATTGCTTTAATTATCGCCAGGTGGAAAACGAGAAGAAATAAGCTTAATTTGCGGTTAATTCGGGTTTTAGAGATTTCCAAAGCTAACATTAAACCAAGAGCTTTAAGCAAAAAGTACTAAAAAGTACTAATTTTGATTTTATTAACCTTTTTAAAGAACTAATAGCTCATTAAAATCACTGAAAAGTTCAGTGTCTTTGTTTTAATAATGGAAAAAAGCATCTCAGTGCCCGAGGTTTCAATTAAGGACAATTAAGGAGCTTCTAATGGCCCTAATTTCTCTTATAGCCGACTGATCGGGCTAAAAATTGGGATCTAAGTTTAAAAGTGTTATAAAAATGGAATTACAACAAAGTTTAAGTAATCTAACACATTTGTCAATTTAATTCAGATATTTGAGCTCAAAGTTGAATAAAGATCATATGGACTCAATATTGACATCAGATCCTCACCCATAAGCGCGTTCGAACTGCCCAAATACTAAAAACGCTGCTTTTCTTTATTTATTAGATAGGAATTCGACAAAAAGTTTAGCAGGTTAAACTCAGAATTCTTGAGTTGTTAGATACTGAATACGATTAGCATTTAAAAGGCAGTTTTGAAAGGTTATCTGGCCTAAATCCAATCCATATTTCATCGGACTAATAGAACCGGATTTCGATCTATGAATTTGTCTATGAGTATCATATTCGTATTCAATTCAATTATTAGGTTAATAGCAATATGGATTGCCGTTTTTGGAATCTCGCAAGAGTAGGAACATGATATCCAAGAGTACGCTATTCCATGAGTACGCTATTCCATGAGTACGCTATTCCATGAGTACGCTATTCCATGAGTACGCTATTCCATGAGTACACTATTCCAAGAGTACACTATTCCAAGAGTACACTATTCCAAGAGTACACTATTCCAAGAGTACACTATTCCAAGAGTACACTATTCCAAGAGTACACTATTCGAAAGCTGTGATTCTTCTCTACAAAATAGAGTAACAAGTATTCTAATTCATATAAGGCGTAACACATATTAATGAACGCAAATTTAATGGACCACCCTTTAAATAAAGTGAACTTTTTTTTGAAGAAGTTCATACTTTTAAGCATTTTATTTCAAATTACTATCTTTGAATCGGTTTTATATAGGCTATAATATTATAATTGAAGTCCAATTGAAGTAAAATTGAAGTCGAATTGAAGTTTGAACTAGTTCTACTCCTTAAGAAATGAGTTTTTTTTTAAATGCGAGCTTGTTGTGTTTTTCGACGAATAGCCTAAGTGTTTTTCAACGAATAGCCTGCAACAAAATGCAAATAACTCTAGCCAATAACTATCGAAAGAACTTTAGGCGACAAAACCGATAGCCGTTCGTCAAATCGGAAAAGTTTTGTTGTTCGGCGGAGTCCTTGTGATCATCATCGCGTTCTTGGGGTGTTGTGGGGCGGCGAAAGAGTGGAGGCCTCTATTGTGCTGTGTATGTTGTGTCGTTTTAGAGAGATTTTTCTAATAATCTTGCCTTCAAACACCATAATCTTGTATCAAATCTTATTTTAGTATGCAACTTGTTTAATGGTCATCCTGGCGACGGAAATAGCGGCGGCGATCTATGCGGCTCTACACAGTCACATGGTGAGTGATAGGTTATTTTTATTAAAGATTGAAATTTGAAATTTCGAAGTTGATCGAATTTCAAGTAGTTTTGGTTTACTGTAGGCCGATTTTGGATCTGTTTCCGCGCTCTGAGCTATACTTTTCTTTCTATTCTATAAGATTTGAAGATTGTGGGACATTTAATTGTGGCCCCGCCCCCTTTTTCCATTGCCAATCTAACTTTGAGCTCAAATTTCGTGGTGTTGGGCTTTTAAATTGAAATATTCTTAGTATCATTTAATGCGCCAAGTCTTTCAGTATCGGTTGGTAAAAAACTATTTCAATTGGACAGCCCAACACCAAGAAATTTGAGCTCAAAGTTGCCAATGGCAAAGGGGTTAGACGCGGACCTTTTATAAGCGCTCCGCCCCTTTTGCCAATGGCAATCCAACTTTGAGCTCAAATTTCGTGGTGTTGGGCTTTTAAATTGAAATAGTTTTTGTACAAATCGATAGAGAAAGACTTGAGGCATCTAATCATACTAAGAATATTTAAACTGCACAGCCCAACACCAATAAATTTGAGCTCAAAGTTAGATTGCTAATGGCAAAGGGGGCGGGGCCACTGTGGAACCTTTTATATGCACCCTGCCCCTTTTGCCGTTCCAACTTTGAGCTCAAATTTCTTGGTGTTGGGCTGTCCAATTGAAATAGTTTTTGTACCAACCGATACTGAAAGACTTGGCGCATCTAATGATACTAAGAATATTTAAATTGGACAGCCCAACACCAAGATATTTGAGCTTAAAGTTAGATTGTCAATGGCAAAAGGGCGTAGCGTGTATCAAATGTTCGATGATCAGATTTGAATACAAGAGTCCTTGCCGTTGGATCAAAATCCAGAAGAACCCAAATAACTGTTCACTCAGCTCACTATTGGTTTGTAATCATTTACCCGATTTCAGTTTGACAAAGATTTCCGAGAGATTCTCCGAGCCTCTCTCAAAATGTACAATGGAACCGATGCACCGAGGAGGTACAAAGATGATCACGATGCTGGGTCAAAAAGTACGCAGTTTTTTTACGAAAGCTTTTTTTTACGCAAGCTTTTCAGCATTTCTTAAAGGACAATTTGTAAATAAATAATAGGACTTTCTGATAAAATAAACCATAGAGCGATTGATTCATTTTTCATTTCAAAAAGTTAGCTTTAAACAAGCGCACAAGACTTTCCGGCCAGCTTGATATTTATGGGGACCAGAAACTAGGTTTAGAGCTCATTTTGTACAAGTTTAAGGCTAAAAAGTTAACTTTAAAAAAGCGGACAAGACTTTCCGGCCAATCTGACAAGACGAACAGAGTGAACAAGACTTTCCGGTCAATATCAGTACTTGATACTCTTTGATTTAACAATTTTAGGCGACGCTTTTCTTGTCAAAGCTGCCTGGGACAAGTACATGATTGATGTAAGTTAAAAGTGAATTCAATTTCAAATTCGATGACATATTTAAGTCAGAAATGACATATTTAAGTCAGAAATGACATATTTAAGTCAGAAATGACATATTTAAGTCAGAAAATTCTTATTTCCTAGCCTAGAACCTAGACTTGAGTGTTCAAGACAAATTATCATTAAAATTTCCAGAAAAAATGTTGTGGTGTCGATTCGGTGAAAGGAGAGTTCAATCACACTGGATGGTACACATTGATGAGAGGAAAATACGAGTTCCCACCGGCGTGCTGTCGACCCGATAAAGCCGGACGATTGCAACCACAATGTTTCGAGATAATGAGATACAAAGATGTGAGTGTTTGAAGAAACGAAATGGTAGAGAATTTGAAGAAGAACAAGAAGAGAATTTGTTTTCAAGTACTGCAAATAATTTTGGAAAGTTTAGAAAGTGTTTAGAAGTGTTTAGAAGAAAGTGAGTCAAATACAGGGTGCGTGAAGAGTTCTGTCCTTTCCTAAAAGACCACTTTTACGATGTTTTATGAAGTTTTCAAGACTTAAAACCTATAAAATTAGATTTTTCAAGTATTTTTACGCTAGAAAATTGTTTTAAAGCTTTTATTTTATTTATTAGGGTATTGCAAAAGAAACTGCCGATGTGTATCAGCTCTCATTTATCAGAAACGAGCGATGCTAATGGAATTATTTTTTTATGTTTTGTTCGCATACTTGTTTGCTATTTATTTGGACATTTGAATTTTTTGGTTGTTGTTTATTTTATTTAAAAATGCTTATATTTTTTATTTAGATCATGGTCGAGCAAAAGTTTGTGCTACGAGCAGCATTATTGTTTAACTTCAAAATTGGAAAGTCTGCTGCGATTCGCATCGTTGTCTCGCAAGGAACCAAAAGAGAAAAGAAGACCAAATTTGTAGAGAAAAGGAACCAAATTTGTAGAAAAAAAGAGCCAAAAGAGCCTCTCAGGCAGTGTCAGACTTGTTTTCAACGATTCCGAGAGGGAGACGAGGCTTTGGAAGATTATGAGCACGGTTCGAGGCCAGAAGTCGTGAACGAAGCCAAGCTGAGGGACGTTATACAGGCCGATCCATGCCAATCTCCTCGAGATCTTGCTCGAGCTCGAGAAAATATTCCATTGTGATCATGTCACCATCGAACGCCATCTTTTTTTGAATTTCCCGTCAAATTGTTTGTGCTACGAGCAGCATTACTGTTTAACTTCAAAATAGGAAAGTCTGCTGCCGAATCGCATCGTTGTCTCGCAAGGAACCAAAAGAGAAAAGAAGACCAAATTTGTAGAGAAAAGGAACCAAAAGAGAAAAGGAACTAAAAGAGAAAAGGAACCAAATTTGTAGAAAAAAGGAACCAGGTCTGCTGCCGAATCGCATCGTTCTCTCTGTGCTGCTTTCGGAGATGTCCAGTTTGTCTCTCAGGCAGTGTCAGACTTGGTTTCAACGATTCCGAGAGGGAGACGAGGCTTTGGAAGATTATGAGCACGGTTCGAGGCCAGAAGTCGTGAACGAAGCCAAGCTGAGGGACGTTATACAGGCCGATCCATGCCAATCACCTCGAGATCTTGCTCAAGCTCGAGAAAATATTCCATTGTGATCATGTCACCATCGAACGCTATCTATCGAACGCCATCTTTTTTTGAATTTCCCGTCAAATCGGCAGTTTCTTTTGCACCACCCTAATATATAGAAAGTTTTATAGAACTTTTTCAGACAAGATTTGAGATCTCCTCTGGGCGCAGGCCAAAATACCTTTCCTAAACACTTTTTTTGAAATGAATATTTGATTAAAAGATTGTTCTAAGGACTTTTAAGCATTATTCACATCTGGTTAGCCGTAGTTTGTATAAAATTTTGCTTTTATAATCCGGGCTTTTTGAAAAGAGGTGAGCAAAATGAAATCAGACCTGAAAATTGCACAATTCGATCTAAACCAGGACTTTAAATGAGGACGAGAATGCTCAAGTGCAAATGCAAAACCGTAATAATCAATAAAAAACTGTTTTTATGACTAAATAGTTACTAAAAACTTTTGAAAATATCAAATTCTTTTTTGCTACGAAGTTCGGAATGCGATTTTGGTCAGCGACCTCAAATGTTGTCCTAAAAAGTTCTATAAAATTTTCTATATAAATAAAATAAAAGCTTTAAAACAATTTTCTAGCGTAAAAATACTTGAAAAATCTAATTTTTTAGGTTTTAAGTCTAGGAAACTTTATAAAACATCGTAAAAGTGATCTTTTAGGAAAGGACGGAACTTTTCACGCACCCTGTAGCTCAAAACCTCTTTAATCTCTTTTTATAGTAATCTCTTTTATTCAAGGATATAGAAAGTCAAGATTCAACCAAGAACACTTTAATTATTGAGAGATTAACTGAAAATTCAAGTCATTACACAGTATGAATGGCTAAAGCACGCACTAGCCATCAATCTCGCTTGCAGGGCTGCTATGAGCGGATGGTCGAATCGTTTAGAGAGCTCAGCTTGCATTTCAAAATCGTTGCATGGATCGTTGTTTTTATTGCTTTTATACAGGTCAGTTGGAACAATGGGCGCAATGGCTCTTGCGCAACTTCCGAGTATTTTGAAAGAATCCTCCGGGTCGTCACGCTTTGAAGGCCTATAACTTTGTCCAGAGATTATATTTTTGTTAACTTTTTATATCATGGTATAGAGAACATTTCAGGCTTTCAAATGATATAAAATAGAGCTTAATTTGTTAATCCAGTCCAAGAAAATCAGAGCCAACTCGGAGCAGATGAGGCCTATCCGACTCGGATGCCGTGTCACCTGGTTTGCAAGGCAATGAAAAACCCAGTCAAGCTCTATTTTATATCATTTGAAAGCCTGAAATGTTCTCTATACAATGATATAAAAAGTTAACAAAAATATAATCTCTGGACAAAGTTATAGGCCTTTAAAGCGTGACGACTCGTTCAAAATACTTGGATTCTTTCAAAATACCCGGAAACTACGCAAGAGCCGAACAATCTACTAGACATGGAAAAATTCCAAGCCGAACCTAATTTCACCTTCGTTTTCTCGGCCGTTTCTTGGTCGATTGCTCTGAAATTTTGTCTACAAGCTGAAAATGTTGATTTCTATCTGTAGACAAAATTTCAGAGCAATCGGCCAAGAATCAGTTAAGAAAACGAAGGTGAAATAGGTTTGGATTGGAATTTTCCTATGTCTACGGTGTACCCAAGATCCCTTGCCATCTCAAAACGCTTGCAGGTTTTCGGCATCATTGTTGGCTTTTGGCTTTGTGACTCGATCACCTCCGATGATGAGGCTTTTTGAGATGGAAATTGAAAAGCAATCTTTAAACCATTCCAATCCTTTTGTACAGAATTTTTTGCTTTGTGATATTAGAGGAAAGTGGAGTTGCCTTTATAAATATTTATGTTTGAATGAAATGGCTGAACACAGAGAAAATTTAGACCCTTTGTTTGTCATTGTAATGATCACTCTATCGTTTTTCAGCTTAAACATTTTGATAAGTAGGATTTCTTACAATGTTAATCATTCATTCAAGTAGGATTTCTTATAAGAAATTATAATTGAAACATTATAATGTTCATCATTCATTAAAACATTCAAAAACATCCTTTTCAGGGTTGTATGAAAGAGTTGCAATACTGGAATCGAACCTTCTGCTAAAACAATTGAAGTTTTGCTGCTTATATTGAAGTTTTGTTGCCAAAATTTCAACCCAATCGAATGCACAGACTTTTTAACACATCCTCTCTCATTTCTGAAAAACTCTCCATCCCAAGACGCCGCCATTTCATCCCCACCCAACCCAATAGCAGTCCAGTGTCAAGCAAAACAAACCAACAAATAAACAAACAAACAAACAAACAATCGAAATTCAAATTCGGAATTTGTTCTGCTAAACAGCTACGATTTTGACCTGCTACATTGATTACAGGGTGACACAAAAGTTCCGTTTTTTCCACCATGTTTTTCGGTCGTCAAATTCAGCTTTTAAGCTAACAAAAACCTATCCAACACTGATAATTCTTATAAAAGTTTGTAATTATAGCAATTTTGTGTTAAATTTAAGGGTTTGCAAGCAAAGATCAAGTCTTTTAATTGGCAATAGATCATCTGAATCAACCCAAATGCCTAATCGCTTGAATTTCTCTCAAAAACCATCCAAATTTTGTGAAATTTTTAATTAAACGTAGCCAGTCAAAAGGAATTCTATTTTTTTTAACTCTTTCTAGACAATTAGCAAAATTTGAGGTTGATTGAAGCTGAAACACAAAACTTATAGCTCTAAAAAGTCGATGAGTCGTAATCGGATTTGTTGTGCTGTTGTTTCACTTTAAAAGCTAAGAATAAACGTAATAAACTAGTAATAAACCTAATAAGCTAGTAATAAACTTATTAAATCTAGTATTAAACCCAATAAATCTAAGAATAAACTGTTGTTTCACTTTAAAAAATACTTATAATTGATCTGATGCTGCATTCAATAGCTGATAATGTTTTTCTTAAAGCTTAAACATTTTGATAAGTAGAATTTCTTACAATGTTAATCATTGATTCAAGTAGGATTTTTTATAAGGTTCATCATTGATTCAATCATTAAAACATTCAAAACATTCAAAACATTCAAAACATTCAAAACATTCAAAAACCTTCTTTTCAGGGTTGTATGAAAGAGTTGCAATACTGGAATCGGACCCATTTCTCGGCAATTTTCGGCATTCTGACTCTGCTTGGAATAATCGAGGTCGGAAATTTCTTTTTTCAATCAAAAAGTGTGCTCCTGTTGATTGTTTCGTTTCTAAAAGATCTCTAAAAGATCTTTTTCAAAAATTACAATGATCAATTGTCAGTTTACATTGGCTACATTTAAGTTTACATTTAATTACGGTAGCTTTTTAAAATAGGCGCACAAAGTAATCAAGAAGAAAAATACTACTGTAAATACCGTAGATATTAGCATAGTTATAGAATCATAGAAGAAAGACCAAGGCTAGAGGAAAAAAAAAACTAGAGGAAAAATTCCTTAACTATCTACTGTACTGTAAAAGTACCGCAGCCCCAGAATGACGGTGTGGAGTGTCTAACTTTAAACGAGTTTTTCTCGACACTGGTTTATGCTACAATGCGGGCTTATTTATCAAAAAATAGCTGAAATTCAGCTATTTTTTGATACCAAAGACGCATTTCTTGAAGGCACGGGTGCTTTGAAAAGAATGAAATACTAAAAGACTTTTGCGACTACACGACTGTACGAGGGCGGTGGTACTATTACAATACTATTACGGTACTATTACGGTACTATTACAGTATTTATGGTATCAAACCTGTGTCATAGACGCAGAAAACTAGCATAGATATCAGCATAGTTATAGAATCATAGATGAAAGACCAAGGAAGGCTATAAAAGTAGAGGAAAAGTCCATTAACTATCATAATAGTAATCTATAAATAACTTACAATTAGTCTTTAAGCAAAACTTAGAAATTGGTACTTCCGTATCGTTCCCCGTCAGTCAAAAGATAAATGCTAATTCTCCTCTGTCGTTTCCCCGCCTTTGCGACAACATAATCTATTGATAGTGAGATTTCATAGCGCTAGATAAGTTTTCTGCTCAACTGGCGGTGTCTGATAATTACATTAAATTATGATAAAGCCAGTGCTTGTAGATTTTTGAGGTAATGCCAAGAAGAAGATGCAGAAGCAGAAGATGCAGAAGATGCAGAAGATGCAGATGATGCAAATTAGCATATGAACGTGTGGCAAGGGAATAGAAAAGGAACCAAACCATTAGAGAAAAGGAACCGAATCTTTGGAGAAAGGAAACCAAATCTGTAAAGAAAAGGAATCAAACCTTTAGAGAAAAGGAACCAAATCTGTATAGAAGAAGAGCTAAATCTGTAGAGAAAAGGAACCAAATCTGTATAGAAAGAAACCAAACCTTTAGAGAACTCTGTTTTTCAAATCTGTATCGAAAAGGAACCAAATTTTTGGAGAAAAGGAACCGAATCTTTAGAGAAAAGGAATAAAAAGAATACGGAATAGAAATGAGCCCTACAAACTACAAGTTCAAACTAGAAACTCTTGTAGAATTGCGTAGAATAGCCAAAAATCAAGCCAACTTTAGACTTTCGAATGACACTTTTAGGTTTTCGGGTTTTGAATGCGGATTTTTGAACAAAATAGTTTTTGCGAAGAAAATGAAAGCTAATAGAGGCTAATCGGTATTCTCCATTTTTGTCAATGACTTTTCTCCATCTTTGGTGCAAATCCCTGATCCCATTCTCGTAAAACCGAGCGTCCTGGTGGGCAAAGTAGAAAGCAAGCGCTTTTGTGACTTGATCATGTGAGCATAAGCAATCTGCTTATCTGCCAACACACTCTAACCCTGCTGTTCTTTTCCCTGAATTCTTTGGGGGGCGCAAAATAAGAATCCGCATTCAAAACCCGAAAACCTAATAAAACCAAGAAAATCCATAAAAAAAAACCCCTTTATAGCCGTTTGCAGTTTCGTCCCACGGAACGACACTACAAACCTGGACAAAAACTGTATATCTCAGTGCAGAGAACATGATTTGGCTTGATTTTGGTGTCATTCGAAAGCCTGAAGTTGGCCCGATTTTTTGGCAAAAAAAGTTTTCAAAAATATCTATACTACGCGTTTCTTCAATGGTTTGTAGTTTGACCTTGTAGTTTGTAGGGCTCTAATACGGAAGTACCTCGAAATTTTTGGAGAAAAGAGATCTATTGCGATTGAAACATCAAAGCTGATAAAAACAGCAACGACCTATCGCTATAGGCTTAGGCTAAGGCTTAAGCTTAGGCTTAGGCTAAGGCTTAAGCTTAGGCTTAGGCTAAGGCTTAAGCTTAGGCTTAGGCTAAGGCTTAAGCTTAGGCTTAGGCTAAGGCTTAAGCTTAGGCTTAGGCTTAGGCTAAGGCTTAGGCTTGGACTTAGTGCGAAGGCTAGCGGCTAGCGCCTAGCACTAAGTCTATTTGGGTTGGGCTGAACCCCCATTTTCTGGATCTCAGCGAGTTCTCGGAGCTAAGGCGCACCCGTTTGGCGGTGTGCATGCGCCCCCCCCCATAGTTAGGCTTAGGCTTAGGCTTGGAGACAGCCATGGGTGTGCTTTTGAAAAGTCTCAACACTTCAGAAACATTTCAGATCGTTTGTTTCGTTGTCGGCGTGTGGCTCTTTCAACAAATCGACATCGAGCGGCTATATTTCTACTAATGAATTCTTTTTTCGTTTTTTTTTTGCAAATACATTCTTGGAGACCGATTTTTTTGACTGAAAGATAAGCGAATTCAAACTAAAAACGTACATACACGAAAGCTGATAACAGAAGTGAAAAAGCCCAAAAATTGTTTACAAAAATCAATCGACAGCTGCTGAAAAAGATCAAAAATGAAAATTTGGATATTTTCACTTTTTTCTGCTATTCTCGCATTCCCTACTGAATTTCCGCCCGATCCAGAGCTTGAGTTGGATTTTGTATGTTTGAATGATCAGGTTTTCGAAGAGATTCTTTCAGCTAGGCATTGCGAAACGTTGGGATTACTATGCGGAGGAACATTTTGTGACAACCGATGATGGATACATTTTGAGGGTTCATCGAATTCCGAACAGGTAAAGTAAAGTAAAGTAAAGTAAAGTAAAGTAAACGTAGTAAAGTAAACGGTGTTGCTCAGTCTAGTCTAGTCGCTGTTGCTCAGTCAGTGAGTCTAGCGAATCCAAACCCGAATCTACAATCTAATGTAGTTCCACCATCGTTTTCTCACAAGGGAATGATCGAAACTGGGGCTTAGGATAAGCTTGCTTGTTTCAGGATAAGCTCCGCTCCTTTTTCTGCGTAGATTTTTCGTAGCTGCCCCTTTTGTCTGAAATTCCCCACGAAACTAGAAGATAATCAGCTGAGTGAGCAAGGGAGACACTTTGAAAGTATAGTATATCACACTTTATGTATAAAAACAAAGGAAAACACGAACGTTAGTTTCCCGTTAGTTTCCCGTTAGTTTCCCACTGAGGAGGTCCACGTTTTCCACGCAATCTAAGCTCAGCCCCTCCGCAATCTTCTATGATCTAAGCCCCCCCCGCAATCTTCTATGATCATTTGACCCTTTCAAACGTTTCAAGGTACCAGTTCCCGTTGGATAACTTGTTCTAAAAAATTGCTATCAAAAAAAAGAACTTATTGTAAGAGTGAGCGTTAAATAAATGCAAATTTTAATCTTGTACTTACAAGAGAAGGTCCAACTAGATGTGCTGGCCAAATCACATGAGAATCGCAGAATTTCACGCTGATTCCGAAGCTGTTTTTTGTTTCTGTCTTTGTCAAAAGTTATACGCATTTAAAGTTTTGTAAGGAGTTTCAAAAAACGGAGACTGCAAGGCATTAAAACCTAAAAAAGGAAAAGGATAATCAGCTACTGGACTCGAACTAGCGACCCGTCGCCTGGCTTCCTAACTCACTACCCTTTGGCCACCGCTGCAACTTCCAAACCTTAAAACCCTGTCTTCCGGTCGCGCAAGACAGGATTTTAAGGTCGTGGTTTGAATTTGATTTTTGAAACTCTTTGCAAAACTTTAAACCCGTAAGACTTTTGACTGAGTGCTCCGTAGGAAAAAAGAAAAGCAGATTCGGAATCGGCATTGAATTCTGCGTCGAATGGTATATGATTTGGCCAGTACAGCGAGTTGACCTTCCTTTGTTAGACGCTTCCAAACGGGTGTCCCGAATTGTCTCCGTCCAACGGTCTTTCTTCAACATGGAATGGAGGGATCATCCGCTTCATGGATTCTCAATTTACCCGATCAGAGTGCAGGTAAAATTCCATTCTTATCTTTTCAGCTTAACGACAATCATAGGATTTGTCTTTGCCGATGCTGGCTTTGATGTTTGGATTGGGAACTTTCGCGGAAATGTGTATGCGAAGAATCACACCAAGTTGGATCCAACGAGTCACGAGTTTTGGCAATTCTCATGGGATCAGGTCAGGGATCAGGAAAGAAGAATACTGTAGTTGTAAAAAGATCTCAGATGGGCTCACAAGACCTCCCAGCAATGCTAAAGTATGTAATTGGGCAAACGGGCGCTCAGCAACTCTACTACGTCGCTCACAGTATGGGAACGATGGCCGCTTTCGCCGAGTTCTCACACAATCACGATTTGGAGGCGCTTGTAAGCATTGTTATTGAAATTTCTACAGAAATTAGGTTACTAACAAGTGAAACGATTTGATTTTGAGGCTTTAAAGGAGGCGTTTGAATTAAGGCCGATTCTCATTTAATATTTCAGGTCCGCGAGTTCTACGCTCTTGGCCCGGTAGCTTCAGTGGCTCATATCAAAGGCTTGCTGGCATGGATGGCTGACCGATATCAACTCATTCAAGTAAATCTAATGATTTTAAATTCTAAACCTTTTTCAGGAGCTTCTCGATGTTCTTGGAATCGACCAATTCTTGCCACCGAGCTTTTTAACGGAAATCATCGCCGAAGACGTTTGCGAAGATGCGGATACGTATAAAGTGTGCGATAATTTATTGTTCTTGATCTCGGGAACAAGCCAGCAGCTTAATGAGGTAGAAAGATATAATAGATACTTTAATTAATATAATAGATACTTTAATTATTCTAATAGAAGCACCCCGTCCATTCGCGTAGTCTATCCACGTTTTACAAAGTCATTCTTTTCTCAGCCCAAGATTTTTCTCAATGTTTTTGGTACCAAAAAATACTAGATTAGAAGGGCTATCGTTTGGCATTCAAACGTACATTGTATCATAAAGAAACGCTGAGAACAGGAGATTCAAAGTTAGACTACGCCGCTATACACCCGTCATTATCGGATTGGCGTTCTGTTAGAGTATTTACGGCAGTTTTGTTCAAGCAACTAATAAATAGAAAGCATTTAAAGTTATTTAATAAGAAAGCATTTAAAGTTAGACAATAAGAGACTCAAATCAAATGAGTGATGAATTAGTCTAATGTTCTAATGTTCTAAAGTCTAATGTTCAACTGAATAGCTTATTAGTAGAATTGTTAGAATTAGAATAGAATTAGAATAGAATTAGAATAGAATTAGAATAGAATTAGAATAGAATTAGAATAGAATTAGAATAGAATTAGAATAGAATTAGAATAGAATTAGAATAGAATTAGAATAGAATTAGAATAGAATTAGAATAGAATTAGAATAGAATTAGAATAGAATTAGAATAAAATTAGAATAGAATTAGAATAGAATTAGAATAGAGTTAGAATAGAATTAGAATAGAATTAGAATAGAATTAGAATAGAATTAGAATAGAATTAGAATAGAATACAATATAAATATAATACAATATAAAAGGAAAAGCTAGAATAGAATTGTTCTTTAGTTTATTCGCTCGATTTTTACCTTTCAAAGTTTTTGGAGTAAGCCAAACTTCGCTAGAGTTTTTCGTTTGTTCATCTCTTTATTAAGCTGAGCATAAAATGTTGAGTTTGAAACAGCTCTGGACTAGTTCTTCTTGAATTATTGAACTTGAATTGGTTTAAGTGGTGGTTTTTAAGTGGTGCTTTTATTTTAAGTGGTGCTTCTTTTCGAATAATTTGGGTAGTTGCATGACTTTTGCATGGCTTTTGCCTTTACTTTTAGTTGAAACTTTAAAGCGTAACCTTTCAAAATTTTAGACTCGAGTCCCAGTCTATTTAAATCACATGCCGGCGGGTACGTCAACCAGTGTCATCATTCAAATGGCTCAAAATGTGAAAGCGCAAAAATTCCAAATGTTCGACTATGATTCAGCGGCTGAGAACCAAAAACACTATGGACAGGTTGGGGCAGTTAAACGACAAAATTTCAGCCAAAAATGCAGCAATTCTAGTTGAATAACCTAATCAAGTAGATCAAGTAAATCAAGTAATCAAGTAATCAAGTAACCAAGTAATCAAGTAATCAAGTAGAATCAAGTAGATCAAGTAGAATCAAGTAGATCAAGTAGATCAAGTAATCAAGTAATCAAGTAATCAAGTAATCAAGTAATCAAGTAATCAAGTAATCAAGTAATCAAGTAGTCAAGTAATCAAGTAGATCAAGTTATCAAGTAACCAAGTAACCAAGTAATCAAGTAACCAAGTAACCAAGTAATCAAGTAATCAAGTAATCAAGTAGATCAAGTAATCAAGTAATCAAGTAGTCAAGTAATCAAGTAATCAAGTAACCAAGTAATCAAGTAATCAAGTAGATCAAGTAATCAAGTAATCAAGTAGTCAAGTAATCAAGTAATCAAGTAATCAAGTAATCAAGTAATCAAGTAGATGTTTGATTTCAATTCTGTTTTTTTAATTTAGCCAGTTCCACCCGAGTACCACGTTGAGGACATGACCCTTCCCGTTCATCTCTATTGGGGCTACAATGATACCCTGGCTGATCCACAAGATGTTCAGGTTCCTAAAAGAAAAGTTCAGCTTTCACCAATTCCTAGGAATATCTCATTCCTCGTCTCAAAAACATGAAAAGCCAAGTGGGATTGGATGGTTTTGCTCACATCGATTTCGAATGGGGAATCAAGGCGCCGTCTCTCGTTTTTGCCCCAATCGTTCAAACCATTAACGACAATTGGAAAGGCTGGCACTCGGGAGAAAGCATGTGCTGAGTGGTGGAGAATAAAAATGTGAAACGAATTTGAAACGAATTTGAAAAGAGTAAAGCAAGCAGAACGGAATTTAAACATTTGGAAAGCAGAAATCAATCAAGAAATTCATTTTCCAAGCATTGAACTATGAAAGAGATTTGATTTTGCTATTAATTGCCAAAGGTTAGCGCTTAAAAAAAGCAGTTAACATTATCAGCTTTTGAATGCAGCATCAGATCAATTAGAAGTATTTTTTAAAGTGAAACAACAGTTTATTCTTAGATTTATTGGGTTTAATACTAGATTTAATAAGTTTATTACTAGCTTATTAGGTTTATTACTAGTTTATTACGTTTATTCTTAGCTTTTAAAGTGAAACAACAGCACAACAAAGCCGATTACGCCTCGTCGACTTTTTAGAGCTATAAGTTTTGTGTTTCAGCTTCAATCAACCTCAAATTTTGCTATTCGTCTAGAAAGAGTTTAAAAAAATAGAATTCCTTTTGACTGGCTACGTTTAAATCAAAATTTCAGAAAATTTAAATGGCTTTTGAGAGAAATTCAAGTGATTAGGCATTTGGGTTGATTCTGGTGATCTATTGCCAATTAAAAGACTTCATCTTTGCTTGCAAAACCTTAAATTTAACACAAAATTGCTATAATTACAAACTTTTATAAGAATTATCAGTGTTGGATCAGAGAAGCTTTTTGTTATCTTAAAAGCTGAATTTGACGACCGAACGACTTTGACGTTTGACGACTGAATTTGACGTTTGTTTGCTTGTTTGTTTTGCTTGACACTATTGGGTTGGGGAGGATGAAATGGTGGCGTCTTCGGATGGAGAGTTTTTCAGAAATGAGAGAGGATGTGTTAAAAAGTCTGTGCATTAGATTGGGTTGAAATTTTGGCAACAAAACTTCAATATAAGCAGCAAAACTTCAATTGTTTTTAGAAGAAAATTTGAGAAAAAGTTATGGTTTAGTTTTTTTCAAAAATTCGTCCGAAGACGCCGCCATTTCATCCTCCCAAAACCAATAGTTGAATCTGGTATTAGCTTTAGTTGATACCACTTTAACTCTGGTATAGGTCTGGCTGGATTTAATGGATCTGTCCAGCTTTGGTCAGGAGTATACATGGGAAAATTCCAAGCCGAACCTAATTCCACCTTCGTTTTCTCGGCCGTTTCTGGGTCGATTGCTCTGAAATTTTGTCTATAAGCTGAAAATGTTGATTTCTATCTGTAGACAAAAGCAATCGGCCAAGAGACGGCCAAGAATCGGTCAAGAATCAGCCAAGAGTCGACCAAGAGTCGACCAAGAATCAGCCAAGAATCAGCCAAGAATCGGCCAAGAATCGGTCAAGAATCGGTCAAGAATCGACCAAGAACCGGTCAAGAATCGGCCAAGAATCAGCCAAGAGTCGACCAAGAGTCGGCCAAGAAAATCGGCCAAGAAAACGAAGGTGGAATTAGGTTTGGCTTGAAATTTTTCCCATTTCTGTAAGGAGTATCTTCTATTGATCAGCACCTAAATCCAATCTATATCCCTCTACAGTTTCCATCCAAACAAACCCTTCCCCTACAACTATACAAACTCTTTCAACTCCTCCGAGTTCCCGGAACTGATTTCTCAACACGGGTTTTTCCGTTCAAGAAAAACGAACGGATGTTTTGCCACCGGTCAACGGGGTAATCTTTCAAAATACAAGGCTCAATAGTTGGGTTGTTTAAAAGAGAGTTTTTCCCTTTTCCTTTCTTCATGAATGAGAGAGTTGACAGTGTGTGGGGTTTCTCTTATGAGTGCCCGGTGTCTCTATGAGTTTCTTTCTGCCGGCTTTACAGCCAACTCCGAGGGAGGGGAGGGGGTTGAGAGGACCCCGAGGCTAAGGCTAACGGCCATATCCTCAAGAAAAAGGTTGGCCTCACCGCTTGGCCCATAGATTTCAAAGTCGTTTCGGGTTACGACCCTAAACTTCTTTCGTTGATCTAAAGCATTTCGGCTCTTGGCTTTTCAGCAGAAATAGTTTGACCTTAAACTCTTAAAGCTGAAACTACCCGGCTGAAAATAGGTAGGATTTCTTTTCTAAAAAATAGATAGCATTTCTTTTCTAAAAATTGGGTAGCATTGAAGTTTTTCTCTAGTTTCAGCTATTCATTTGGTCCACTTTTCTTTTATTTGAATAACAAAAGCCTAAAGAAGTCCAGCTTACTCTAGTTCTACTGTAGTTTATTGTAGCTTACTCCAGTTTACTATAGCTTTAGTCCAACCTACAGAAGTCCAGCTTACTCTAGTTCTACTGTAGTTTACTATAGCTTTAGTCCAACCTACAGAAGTTCAGCTTACTCTAGTTCTACAGTAGTTTACTGTAGCTTTAGTCCAGTCTACAGAGGTCCAGTTTACTCTAGTTCTACTGTAGTTTATTGTAACTTTAGTCCAATCTACAGAAGTCCAGTTTACTCTAGTTCTTTTGCGTTTACTTTACTCTAGCCTAACCGGGGCAGAGTTAGCTTACTCTAGTTCTACTGCAGTTTACTATAGCTTTAGTCCAACCTACAGAAGTCCAGCCTTCTCTACTTTTAGAGTTCTTTACAAAGAATGTGATTTCGTTATTTAACTACTTTTCTTGTTCACGAATTTCCAAACAAATTCCATTCCAACCTGAATTTTCAACAGTTTACAAGCAATTTAACTAAAACTTGGAACCAAAAACAATAAAGTTATTTCGTTTTTTTAGATAAAAAGTACCCATTTTCTGCACTCAATTTCCTCTCGATCCAATCCTCTAATTTCCCACCGCTAACTGGTATTTCCATAGAGAAAATGACTGGAAACGACCTTGTGTTTTCTCTTTTCGTTCGCAAAATTTCTCTTTTCGTCGATTTGTAGAAAAAAAACAAGCAAACAATGTGGCTCGAATGGAGGGCGGACACTTCGCTTTTTTGAGATGAAAAATGTCAAGAAACGGTGTTGCAGAGAGGAGTTAGGATACTCAAACTAGTACCCAGCACTTAGCTGATGAAAGACAAGTGCGTGGGCCTTTTTTGGTGGAAGTTGTTAATATGTTTTTGCTTTGTTTTGTTTTGTTTTGTGCTTTCTTTTCTTTTGTTTTGTTCTCTTTTCTTTTCTTTTCTTTTCTTTTCTCTTTTAAATCTTCCCCACTTTAAAAAAAAGATTGAATTTTGGTGGGACAAATGCGACCTTTTTTTGCGCACCTGGACATTTGCGCACCTTAGGCAAGGCCGTAAAGCTTCAAAAATCTTTCCCTACAAGGGAATCGTATGCCTAGATTCCGAATTTCGACAAATCAGACCTCGTTGACACGTCAAATTTGGACTAAAAGGCAAAAACTACGCAACTTAACGCTTTTCCGCTGTTTTTGCCTTTTAGCCCAAATTTGACGTGTCAGCGAGGTCTGATTTGTCGAAATTCGGAATCTACGCATACGATTCCCTTCTATGGAAACTTTTTGAAGCTCTACGACCTTTCCTAAGGTCTTTTCCAGCAAAAAAAATGTGCGCAAATGTCCAGGTGCGCAAAAAGAAGGTCGCATTTGTCCCACCCCCAATTTTTCTTAATTCCACGATTTTCAATTTGATCGAAAGTGATTTGATCGATCAATCATTTTTGTTTTTTCTCTGCCATCCCAGAGTTGAATACAAGTTTTAAAAACGAAGTTACAATAGTTACAATGCTTTTTAACAATAAAACACATTGAAAACCTTCTTGTAAAATTGCTAGACAAGAATTTTCTTTTCTAAATTCTTTTCTAAATTCTTTTCCAAATTCTTTTCTAAATTTTTTCTTTATTTTCAAAGTCAACAACTTTTTTTTATGATTTCTAATGCTCACGATTAGCCTTTTCGCTTTCCCAATTGTTTCTTGAAACAATTTCAAGAGTTTTTGAAAGAAAAATTGCAGATGGCCCCGCCAGCGATCTACGGAGAACCAAAAATCATCTCAGCTGATGGAAATGTTACACTAGAGGTCGGTGATTTGAAAAGTGAACTCAACTATTGATTGGAATCTTTCAACTGCTCAATTTCAATAAGGATTTCAATAAGAATTTCAAAAAGAATAGGAAATGTGGGTTAAAACTGTTTTGGAGATTAATTTTTTTGGGAGTTTCAGCTGTTTTCAGCTGATTAACCTTGAGCTCTTTTCAGAAATGATAAAACGAAAAGGCACGAGTTACGGGTAGTAATCGGCACGAGTAATCGTTACGGCCTTTCAATACGAGTTAATATTGTAAAAGAATCTACTATATATAGTAAACTACAATCTATATAGAATCTAGATAGCAAAGGAAATAGTTCAATATCGTAAAGGAATCTACTATATAAAAGGAGAAATGTCCGTCCGTCTGTACTCGTCCTCTTTACGTCGAATTCTCTGCTTCTCATGGACCGATTTACATTATTTTTAGTTTATTTACCTTAGAATTATATGTAGTTGTGCATCTCATATTTCGTTTTTTTTTAAATAGCAAAACTCATGACACAATCGGGAGTCGAACCTGGACTAAAGCTATAGTAAACTACAGTAGAATTAGAGTAAACTGGACTTCTGTAGGTTGGACTAAAGTTACAGTAAACTACAGTAGAATTAGAGTAAGCTGGACTAAAGCTACAGTAAACTACAGTAGAATTAGAGTAAACTGGACTTCTGGGCCGTAGACAAGCGCGCTACCGACTCCGCCAAAGGTGAAAAGGTGGAAATAGCGAAAATTTACATACGAAAAAGAGAAAAAGTACCAAGCAAAGCTTACTTACTTTAGTAAACACTACTAGGCAGTAGCTTTTTGAAAGTTTGGTGAGTAAGATAAATCTAAAGTGTTCGAAGCAAGCCATTTGCTTATTTTTGACTAAGATTGAATTAAAGAATTGTTTTGAATGCATTCATTGGCATTCATTGGCATTCATTGACATTAATTAGCATTCATTGGCATTCATTGACATTAATTGGCATTCATTGACATTCATTTGCATTCATTGGCATTAATTTGCATTCATTGGCATTAGTTTGCATTCATTGGCATTCTTTGGAATTCCTTGACACTCTTTGACATTCATTGACATTAATTAGCATTAATTAACATTCATTTGCATTCATTTAGTTTACTTTAGCAAATTCTGTGACTCTGCTCTTCACTAGCCGACTTTTGAAACGTAAGGAGCGTAAGGGAAAGGAGCGCCCACACTTTAAGACCAAATGGCGACCTCATCCCTTTTCTGCTCTTCACTAGCCGACTTTTGAAACGTAAACAAAGCCCAAGATTGCATTGAAAAGATTCAACCAAATGGCTCTTGGTTTCAGCCTTTTTCTTTCGGGAGCTTTTTTGTCTCACTTAACTCTTTTCTCTGACAGGTGACAAAAAAATGCTGCAAGTGAGGGGAAAGGAGCGCCCACACTTTAAGACCAAATGGCCACCTCATCCCTTTTCTCTGTCTCCACTTTCAACACCACCTACTCAAATGTTGATTGTGAAATTGTGAAATTGAGACAAACAAGCTAGCAATTTTGAAGAGAAATCTATATCTAAAAAGTTTTTTGTACCCGACTTCTCAATGTTCCTTGAATGCAGCTAAAGATCTGAATGTCTTAGTGTTTGAATATTGATTATTCTGACTACTGTAATGGCTATGGGACTTGGATTTTACAGTATCTTTAAGTTGGAATTGATTTAAACGCCTTGTTTAGGCTTTTTTAAACTCTTTATCTTGTAAATTACCCTTAAAATCATTTGTAGATAATCTCAAATCCAGAAAAAAACCATTCGTAGACACATTTTTACAAAGCCAATTGTCCAATCCCAAATGATCGATTGCTTCAATGAAAAAAAACTCTTTTAATCTTTGAATCTTTGAGGTTGTTGTAACCGGAGCCGATCCAGTAAAAACGAAATGGCTTTTGGGTGACCGAGAATTGGAAGAAAGCGACAATTATGTGTTCTCCCACTCCGATGAGGGAGGAAACAGAAAGAAATTGACCTGTTTGATTAAGGTGAGATTTTCTCAAGATCAGAGCATTTTTCAAGCATTTTAGCCAGTAGATTAGTAGCTTTTAAACGCAAATGCTTTAGGAATTCGACAAACCGTTGGCTGGTGAGTACAAAGCGAAATTCTTCTCGGCTGATGGAGAGAACAGTGCCGCTTTCACTGTCACTGTTGGAGGTGGGTGAAGTGAAGAAGAACTGTTCTAGAGCTTTTTCTAGAACTTGTTCTAGAGATTGTTCTAGAGCTTGTTCTAGAGCTTGTTCTAGAGCGTGTTCTAGAACTAGAAAAGGGGTTCAAAATATTAAAAATGATTTCATTTTGATATAGAAATGAAGGATAAGATAGATTATATAAGATATGGATAGATTTGCATTTGCATTTGCTATACACGAAATAGCTTTGTTTGAAATTCAAATAGTCCAAATGAATAGTCCAAAATAGTCCAAAATAGTCCAAAATAGTCCAAAATAGTCCAAAATAGTTCAAAATCGTCCAGTTCGAATAGTCCAAAAGGAACTGTGATTATGCCTCAGCCTGTATTTATGTGTTTCCTTGATGTTGATCAATTAAAGTAGTTGAAAAAGTTGATTTAACAATTTATTTAATGGGAAAGTAATTCTTTATTTATTTATTTATTTATTTATTCTTTATTTATTAGTAATCCTTTTCAAAACAAAAGCTCGACAACGAATTTGATCAAAGAGAAACAATTGCTAGGAAATGGCGGACAAATAGGGGCACAAATAGGGGCACAAATAGGCCGACTTTAACACTGAAGTTAGAAAACACTTCAGTTAACAAATAAATAATCTGCGGGAAATGATTTAAAACAACTATAAAATTCTCAAGAGTTTTAAAACCTTACCGTAAATCCTGTACCCCACCCCCATAATGACGGTGCGGAGTGTTGGGTAGTCTAGCTTTGAACGAGTTTCTCTCGACACGAGTTTATGCTACAATGCGCGTTTAAATATCAAAAAATAGCTGAAATTCAGGGCTATTTTTTGATACTAAAGACACATTTTTTGAAAGTACGGGCGCTTCGAAAAAAATGAAATACTAAAAAACTTTTGTGACTACGTGACTGTACGAGGGGGGTTGGGTACTATTACAGTATTTACGGTAAGTCCTGTAAGCCAGGCTAGTCAGGGGTGGCCAGAAGTCAGATCAGAGCTGGCATACCAAATTAAAAATACTTTTAATACGCCAGAAAGCATGGGTTTTCATTCTACTGCACAAAATACAATTAAGATTACCCCAAAAGCCATTGTCTCGTCGTTGATTGGAAAATAGACGTGATGTGAAATAGTCAACTGGAGTCCCATCCACCCATGAGTACTTATTAACCTAAGTACTTATTAACCTAAGTACTTATTGACCTAAGTACTTATTAACCTAAGTACTTATTAACCTAAGTACTTATTAACCTAAGTACTTATTAACCTAAGTACTTATTAAATTAGCCAACTCACTCATAATTTGTCATCTTCGGGTCGGGCTTATCGAAGACAGTAATAGTTGGTATGTAATTACGGTATGTAATTTCCAGATGCCCCCGAATTCCACGATAAGCCTCATATTGTTCAAAGGGATGGCGGAAACGTTATTGTGATCAAAGTGCGTGCAAAATCTCATCTCGAGATGAAGGCTGAATGGTTCAAGGTTTGATTTAGACAATTCATATAGAATATAAATTTTATTGCGCTATTTTAAGGCCCTTAAAATCTATTCTGATTTTAGGATGACAAGCCTGTTAAATGTAACGATCGAGTGAAAGCTGTTGTGAAGAAAGACGATAAGGTGCGTTCTAAAGTTCCACAAGCTACAAAGTCTTGTAAAATGGCTATTGAATCGGATTTGAATTTTCTTTGTTGATAGAAACATGAAATGTCTAAAGACTAAAGCTACTCGAGACATAAAATTATTGGGTTGGCGAATTGAAAACCGCGGGCTATTGTCATATGTGACAGTTTGAGCACTTGTTATTTATAATGTATAATACTTATTATGCTATAATGCTTAGTTTTAAATCAAAAACTTTAGGATAAGCTACATTGAGTCACAATCCAAATAGTGATTTCGATACTTTCTCGTCATATTAACCCAGAAAACATCTAAACTCGATCATCAAATTCATTTTGAAACTAAATTTTGAAACCCCAAACGCTTCGAGCCACAAAATGTGCATTTCTTTTACATTACATTTCAAAATTCACATTTCTCCTTATTCTTTAGACAATTTAGTTGTGTCAAATGCAAATATTGGGTTGGTGAATTGAAAACTGTCGGCTATTGTCATATGTGACAGTTTGAGCACTTTCTACAAAAGAAACCCATTTTGGTGTCAATGGAAAAGTTGTAGAGAATCAAAAATCAAGCTTATATCCAAATTTTCAGAACGATTCAAAAACTAGCTTTCAAGAAATGCCAAATTTAAGAAAGAAATGCCAAATCTTCACAAAACTTGCATTTTAAGCGAAACTACTAAGTGTATCTTTTTGAAAATTTGGCTATAAGCTTGATTTTTGATTCTCTACAACTTTTCCATTGACACCAAAATGGGTTTCTTTTGAAGAAAGTGCTCAAACTGGAATCTCCAGTCTCCATCTCCAGTCCTCCATTTTTGAGTCTCACACTTGTCTCACACACAAACCAAAATCCTACTACGAAAAAGGAATCCGCAAATTGCCTGTAAAATGGGAAGAAGTCGTCAATAATAATGGAATTATAATAATGAAATATTTCGAATGAGTTCATGGTTTTATGTTCAATAAATTTTAGTTCAAAGTCCCGCAGTTTTCAATTCACCAACCCAATAGATAGATTAGATAGAAAATGATGACAAGATTACGGTAATCCAATTTAAATCTATTTACTATTATTTATTCTTGTAGCAAAAGGCATTTTGAAATTTCGGTAAATAGGAATTTTGAAAAGAAATTGCTTAATTTCCTTAGAACTAGTGACTTTCGAGGATGTTGCTGGGAATTGCTGGATAGCAAGACGACCCTTAATGCAATCAAATACAGTGAACAGTTGGGAAAGGTGAATGAATCCCTGAAGAAGAATAGGCCCTCCAAGTCAAAGATCGTTCTCATCCACGATAACGCGCGCCCTTATGTTGCAAAACTGACTCGCTCTAAAATAAATAGCCTTGTTTGGGAATTTTTGGCGCATCCCCCATACAGTTCGGACCTCGCCCCTTCTGATTACTATTTATTTCGGACCATCAGTAATGAGTTTGCGGGAGAACACTTCGATTCAGAAGAAGCAGTCAAAAATTGGCTTGAAAGTTTTTCGATTCAAAACCAAAATCCTACTACGAAAGAGGAATCCGCAAATTGCCTGTAAAATGGGCCTGAAGTCGTCAATAATAATGGAAATCGTTTGGAAAGAATTGATGGCTTTATGTGCAATAAATTTTAGTTCAAAGCCCGGCAGTTTTCAATTGACCAACCCAATAAATACAAATCACGTACAATAGAAATGAAAATGACCTTTAGATAGACTAAACTTTAGATGACAAATACATTTTATTAAATTTACGTTTAATTTGCATTCAACTAATCCAATCCAAGTCCAATCCGGATCCAATCCAAATTATCCAAACTTTGAACTAAAATTGATTCAAAGTTTCAAAGTTAAAGGACTAAACAGGCAATGAGCTATCAAAGAGGATGAAGCCAAATACAAGGCTTTTATCTTGATCAGATGATCCAGATGATCCAGATTTTTCAACAGCTGGCTAGAAACAAAAGGAAAAACTCAAGATCGCTCATTGTTATCAAGATAGCTCAAGATAGCTCAAGATAGCCTGTTTAGTCCTTTAACTTTGAAACTTTGAATCAATTTTAGTTCAAAGCCCGGCAGTTTTCAATTCACCAAAACCAAAATAATTTCCAGGACAAGGACGGCTATCAATTCCTCTTGGAGATCACGGGTCCAATCAAAGAGGATGAAGCCAAATACAAATGTGTCGTCAAGAACTCCGAGGGTCAAAACCAGCAAAGTCTGAACTTGTGTTTTGATTAGATTTCCAATCTTTTCCAATCTTTTTCTTTTTCAATTCTTGTTGCTCAAATTTTTCTGGTCACAAATATCTCTCCCGGTTTTCTAAAGCCTTTTTGTAGCCGATTTGCTGGCATATCAATTTAGATTCACCGAAAATTGTTTCTCAAATAGTCTCTATTCAAATCAATTCAATTGCTTCTTACATTAATCTTTCAAATTAATTTAATAAAGATGAGAGAAATAAAGATGAGAAAATTGTGAAGAAAACAAAGCCAGTATGAATTATTTAGTAGATCAGATTAAAGGAATCACGAGAAAATGCATTTCATTGTTTTCTCAACATTGGAAAATGAGATACACATCAAAAATGAAAGAGTGATGGTGAATTTAGACTTGATAAAGTTATTGAAAAGGATATTCAGTCAATTGTTCAGTCATTTTCTTTGTTTTTCGAGCCAGCATCTCAAATTGAACTTTTCCTACATGTACAAGTGCGAAACAACAAAAATATGACACTCTAAGATGTGTTAAACATTGAAAAATTAAAGAAACGGAACAGTATGACTTGTTAAAGTTATCAGTTATCTAGCTTCAGTATATCAACTTCTATTCTCAACTAATGTTCTATGCATTCCCCCTAATAAACTTGCTCTGTATAACTAATTTGCTGATTTGCTCTGTATCACGAATTACTAGTGTACTTTCTCTTGAACTCACTAGACGTAGCTTGACCTGTGTAGAGTGTATGCATCTCAAACAAAGCTTTCTAAAAAGCCCGCAAACTACCGCAGTTCTCATGCTAAAGCGTGTGACAATGATTCAACAAAGCTCCAAGAAACAATATATTGGCACGGTAACAAAAAAAAATCACTTACGAAAGTTGTGGAAGTATCTCGAACAAAAGAAAACAACTTTCACAAGACAAATGAGAAAAATCCAATGAGGCGTCCTTTTATACGGAGTGAGGCGTCCTTATATACGGAGTGAGGCGTCCTTTTATACGGAGTGAGGCGTCCTTATATACGAACTGAGGCGTCCTTATATACGGAGTGAGGCCTCCTTTTATACGGAGTGAGGCCTCCTTTTATACGGAGTGAGGCCTCCTTTTATACGGAGTGAGGCGTCCTTTTATACGGACTGAGGCCTCCTTATATACGGACTGAGGCCTCCTTTTATACGCGTCTGAGGCGTCCTTTTATACGCGTCTAAGCGCGACATTGTTTAGGGTACGGTACTTCTGGTGTCTTATTATTGTCTATTGTCTTATTGACTGTGGCAGCTTTTTGGTGACTCGTCACAGTCCCGATAGTACTCAACAACTTCGAACTCTTGAAAACACTTCCGATATTGCCTCTTCGTTGCCTTTCTATTCAAAATTCTGACACAAAGAACAGAAATCACCTAAACAATGTAGTCAGAGCATAAGTTTTCTATAACCTATGACAAGATTCCAATGCATTCATTCAAATTCTCTTTCTTTCATTTCTATGAATCCGTCTTTAACCGGCTCTCTTCGCATGACAATAACTTCTTCTACTTCGTTTTTTCGTCATAATCCCTTTTCTTTTATTTCTTTCCAAATCTATTCACCGTTCCTCACCAATCAGAAATTATTGGATCCACCGATAATCTGGTAGACCGTATATAAACTTGAACAAATCTTACTTTGTACCCGATTTTTCTGTCTGCTGATGGAGTGGTATATTCGGGCTGGTGGCCTGCGCAATCTTCCAGCGTACAATTGCGAGTAAGTTGAGAGGAAAGGCTGGTGACGGATCTAAGGATCGTTAGCACTATTAGCACTATTAGCACTATTAAATCACGTTTTCAATCCATCTTTTGAGTGGTTTCAATGTTTTAAAAACAAGATATAGATAAACAAGATAATTTACATTTTTGAGATCAAATTTACATAAGCTTGATTTGAGAATTGTCGAGAAATCGATTTGCAAAAAACCAGTTGAACAAGCAGTTAAACAAAGCAGCAAATTTTAGAGCAGTAAACGTCACTTCAGAAGAATGGGCCGCAAAAGGCAAAAAGGATCCAATTCTTGGCTCAATTTTTCTCACCTACGGAATCATTGTCGAGGTTGGTGAATGGGAAAGTATTTGCAGCTCATTTACGCAAATTTTCAGCTCATGTACGTTCCATGTCTCATGGTCATCACTCGACCCCAATATCTCAAGTTGTCATGCTATAAAGTCAGTTCGATCTTTGTACTCAGCTCCATTTGGTGGAGTACTCAGCTTCATTTGGTGGAGTACTCAGCTTCATTTGGTGGAGTACTCACCTCCATTTGGTGGAGTACTCAGCTCCATTCTTAAATCGATTTCAGATTATGGCCATTCTCGGCGTCATCGACATGGCCGCGATCGTTGTAAACTCGGTGTTGACCGGGATTTTCATGATCGAAGGCGCTGTCTACTGCTCGCATCCAGATCTCATTTACATCAGTGGAGCGATTGGATTAGGTAAGAAAGATTAGGAAAGGAAAGAAAGATTGGAAATTTGGTTTTAGTAGGCCCAATTGCCGCCAATCCTTTTGCTTTTTGCTGGTAATAGAACGCCATCGTAGTCTTTTTCGTATAGTCTTTTTAGAAAACCATTTTTTTCTCAGTCCCTAGATTTTCCCAGCTACACTTTTAGTACTAAAAAATACTAGATTTCAAGGGCTATCGTTTGACACCCAAGCGCACATTGTAGCTTAAAGCAGTGCGGAGAACGGGACGTTCAAAGTTAGACTACGAGACTGTACGCCAGTCATTGTGGGAGTTCTATTAAAGTATTTACGGTTTTAAAAAAGGGTTAAAGAGCAGCACAGCAGAGAAAAAACTCAAATCATTTCTAGGGTTATGGTGTTGTGCTTGCTTGTCCTGTCTTCTCCTGGTCGTCAATCGTTTAGTCGACATCTGGAAGCCGCATCTCATGGATGGAATCTTTGGAGGTTTGTTCAATTGTTTCAGTCAGCGAACAACATTTATAGGTCGTCGCACTTACTATGTGATGACATTCCCGATGATTTATGGCCTCTACTTTGTCTTCTTCACTCAACCATTATGCTTCAGTTCGTCGCATGCGGCTTGGTTCTTTTCGCCGTTCATTTATGAGGAGAGTCGGGATCCAGAGGTTCGGAAATAAAAGATATTGCCTCGTTTACCACCAAAAACTACGAAAAACTGTTTTCTGTTACTGTTAAAACTGCCAAAAACTGTTACTACGAAAAACGGTTTTCATTAATGTTCAGCATACGCAATAAAACCCCAATGAAACTCAATAAAACAGCAATCAAACCTCTTTCTGGTGCACAGGTGATTCAAATCTCGATTCCAGTACCTCAACTACCCACACACCGCCAATAACTTGTTGATTGTGGTGGCCACTTGCTGGCTGTACACCGGACTCTGCTACATTCTCGCAAGCAAATTCAAAACCGATTACAGCTCTGGAATGTCGTGGACACAGAAATCGGTAAGATCTACTATAGATAAAAGGGAAGTGTCCGTCCGTTCGTCCGTCCGTCCTCCATCCGTCCATCTGTCCATCCGTTCGTCCATCCGTTCGTCCATCCGTCCGTCCGTACATCTGTCCATCCGTCCATCCGTTTTTTCTTTTTTCCCCCCTTTTTTCCTCCCTCTTTCCTCCCTCCCTATTTTCCTGTGTCCTTCCTTCCTTCCCCCCCCCCCCCCCCCCTCCGTCCGTCCGTCCGTCCGTCCGTCCATCCGTCCATCCGTCCATCTGTCCGTCCGTCCGTCTGTCCGTCTGTCCATCTGTCCGTCCGTCCATCCATCCGTACAGACTTTTCTCAGCCGTCTTTGGGCCCAAAAAAATTGAAATTTTTCAAAAAAGTCTTAAAGTATAATATAGTTGTGCCATTTCAAATAAAAATTTAAAACCTCAAAATTGAGTGGCACTACGGGGGGTCGAACCCGGAGGCCGTAGACTCGTGTGCGCCGTAGACAAGCGCGCCCCCAACTGCGCCACGGCGACAAACGTCAACCCCAGAACATCCAGCTAGAAAAACCCGCTGTTAAACGGGTTTTTTCGGTTGATAAACGATAACAGAGTAAAACTGAGCATAAATTTAGATCTTCATCCAAGCAACCCTCATCTGTCTGGCTAATCTCATCGCTGCGCTGATTTACGTCTACATGCAGGTAAGATAGACTAAATTTCACAATCATTGCCTGGGAATCAATAATGAATTGCTTGTATCAAAGGGTACACGTTTACTTTTCAGTTTTTCCCCACTCCGGACGTTTTTATTCTGATTGGTCATATCAATTGGCAATGGGGGCATGGTGAGTAGTTGTTGATGAGTTGATGAGTTGATGTTTCTAACTAGGGAAGTGCAACAGATCAACAGGCTCTGTAATGAGACCTAGCTCATCTTACGCAGTTTTTCATAGCGATTCCGAAAGTGCTTTCAAAATCGGCGAAAGAACTTTCTGGCAAAAGTTATGAGCATTTGAAGTTTTGGGTTGCCTCTATAAAGTCTCTTTCACTCTGGAAGGAAAGGACAGAGAACAGAGTGAAAGAGACTTTAAAGTGACAGAGTGAAAGAGACAGAGTGAAAGCACACCAGAGAGCAAGTGTGCTGGTGGCGTGGTGGATAAGAGCCTTGTATCAAAGACAGCTGATACGCTTTTTGCTCGGGTTCGATTCCTCTTGCAAAAAAGCAAAAACTAGAAGAAGAGACAAAAAACAAAAAAGAAGCAATCTCTAGTAAGCACTTTTAAAGCTCTAGTAACTTTTCGATAAGTTTCTAAAGATAAATCTTAATCCATCATGGGAAAATCAACCCAAAACACTTATGAGAACAAGTATTGCAAAACTAGTAACTAGTATTACAGTAGTACAACTAGTATTACAGTAGTACAACTAGTATTACAGTAGTACAACTAGTATTACAAAACTTGTCTATAGAAAATGGATCAAAAGAAAGCTTATGTTGAAGACATTTTTGGTTTTCTTTCAGGTTTCCCAGCAATTGTCTACCTGGCTTTGAATCGAACCATTCAACGAGAGGTAAATAAAAAAATCACAAGAATAAGTGCTGGTTTAGCCTTCGCAGAAGTGATTGGTCTTTAAAAATGGCTTTAAACTTTGGCTGAATGGCTTTAAACTTTGGCTGAATGGCTTTAAACTTTGGCTGAATGGCTTTAAACTGTAATCTAGGTTGGTCACATGTTGGGTCTTTACAAGATCAACTGCTTGCGAACGACGAAGATTCTCCCAAGCGCCTCGGCTCCCGAACACACCTCTTCTCTACATATCTAAAAGAAAGTACAAATTTCGAACAAGAATTGATCGCTGTTCATTGATTGGCGTTAACCAGTAGCTCTAAAATCGAATTCTAAACCACAAGACTTTCCTTTGAACTCTTTAAATAGTCATTTATTGTTTCAGAACTCATTTAATGTTTTAGGACTCATTTAATGTTTTAGAAAACTTTTTACCCGTGGAATTGATCTTTGCGTAAGCTTGAGTGTTTCTATTTCTGTTTCTTCTTTCTCTTTCTTGTGTACTTTCTTTTGTATTTTCTTTTATACTTTCTTTTGTACTTTCTTTTGTACTTTCTTGTAAGTTTTTTTTAAATGCTTTTGTAGGTTGATTTTTTTTGATTTTTTGATTTTTCTGTAACTCTTACTTCATTTTAGCTTTACAATTTCAAAATATAAATCCTGCAAAGTAAAAATGGCATAAATTTCTCTCAGAAGAAACTCTCATTAAGCTTTTTTGAAAGGTAAAGTTAAAGGTTTTATAGGAAAATCAAGATCGAGTCATTATTATTTCCATAAAGCTTTGTTCATTTACATTTTCTGTTCATTTAAAATGACTGTTCCTTTACAGTTTACAACCAAGAACAATCAGAATCATACTTTATTTAACTTTATTTAACTAATAGAAAGTATCAACCAAGAAATGAAGGTTGTAATTAAATTAAACAGAAAAAGAAACGAGATCAAAACACGTAAAATCTTTTGTGAATCATCTTTTGTGAATCTTCTTTCAATAATTTCCTATTTCCCGAAGAAACTGAACATTTTTTGGATGAAATTCTTCTTTGCCTGAGTCTCCATTTGCTTGGGTTCAGCCTGAACAATTGGGATTATTTGATTATTTGAGTTGGACCTAATCTCTCATTGTTAGACCATTTGTGAGAATCTATTCAAGATATTTTTGAAGTTAATGAAGATTTTGAGTATCTATTGAATTGTTGAGTATCGTTTTTTTTCTCTAAAAATGATTACTAATGTTCTCCCAGTGTAGTCGTTGGAGTTGAACACAAAAGAAAAGTATTTTTCACTATAAGACAATGGGAAAGGCTTTTGGGAAAACTGAGAATTGGTTTTTGAGTTTTTGAGAAAACAAAAATGAAAAGTAATATTGGATTTGGGTAGTTTTAAAGGCTGAAAATGATTAGATTAATTGATTTCTTGTTTGGAACTGAAAACAAAGTACTAATCAGCAAGTTTATATTTGTTGTTAAGTTGTTTTGCTCTTTCAAGTCCACAGTTCTGAAGGCTCGGCTATTTCCTTCTCTTTCTTTCTTCCTTCTTGTCTTTCCTAATTAGATTATTAAAAAAGTTTGCGGTCACTTGCAGAAAAGTTCAAATTATCTAATTACTTTGACAATAGATTCTTATGGTTTTTGAAAGCCCGGTTTTGCCTGGCTCATTTGAAAGCCTGGTTTTGCCTGGTTCATTTGAAAGCCTGTTTTTGCCTGGTTCATTTGAAAGCCCGGTTTTGCCTGGCTCATTTGAAAGCCTGCTTTCTTGCGAACATTTTGTTATATAACTCACTTTACAATTCAATATCTTTAGATTTAAAAGTGAACTTTGTGTTTTGCTCTATTGGAAAAAGGTCTGTCTGCGAGATCTGCTACTGAAGTGATTTGTAGGGTGGAAGGCGAAGGAAGTGTTGGTAAAATTGCTGCGATCAAGTGATTTAAACGCTTCAATGGCGGTGATTTTAATCTTGAAGACAAGAAGTTGAAGTTAAAGTGTAGTTGAAGAAGCGGGTCAAGAGTTCTTTGATTCAAAGGAGTCGGCTTGGTACTTCGAGTAGATCCGAAATCTTGTTGATCGATGGCAGAAGGTCGTAGAGAATGAGGGACTATACTTCGAAGAGTTGTTGTTGTTGTTGATGGCAAAAGGTCGTAGAGAATAACAGCCTATACTTGGAAGAGTTGTTGTTGTTGTTGTTGTTGTTGTTGTTGTTGTTGTTGTTGTTGTTGTTGTTGATGGCAGAAGGTCGTAGAGAATGACAACCTATACTTTGAAGATTTGTTGTTGGTGTTGATGGCAAAACGTCGTAGAGAATAGCAGTCTATACTTCGAAGAGTTGTTGTTGTTGTTGATGGCAGAAGGTCGTAGAGAATGACAACCTATACTTCGAAGAGTTGTTGTTGATGGCAAAACATCGTAGAGAATGACAGCTTATACTTCGAAGAGTAAACGTTCTTGTTTTTGTTGATTATTGAAAAATTGAATTTTTCTACAAGTGACCGCGAACTTTTTTAACAACCTAATATTTCTTGGGAAAGAGGGTAGCTCAATGGTAGCGCATCTCTGCCTGATAAGCAGAAGGTCGAGGGTTCAATTCCCCTCCAAGTCCTTTCCCATTCATTTCTTTACTTTACCAATTCGTTAACGTTGATGAAAGTAGTTTTGCTGAATTTTGTGCCCTTGATTGGTTCCATCTTTTCTTCTCCAATCACCACTGTTTCTCCATCACCGACAGCCACCAAGAAAATGTTTGCGGGCAAAGTGACAAGTTTCGAATCACCGGTCGAGTTGAGCAAGTGGCCTTCCTGAAAATTATCTCATTTCAAAGAGTTTCCAAGAAATTACAACATTTTAACTAAGAAATTCTCTAGAATTCTTGAAGCATTAAAGCAATTTGGAAAATATAATCCATTTTAAAGCAATATCATCCGTTTTAAAGCAATATAAACCGTTTTAAAGCAATATAATCCGTTCTAAAGCAATATAATCCGCTCTAAAGCAATATAATCCTTTTTAAAGCAATTTAATCCATTCTAAAGCAATATAATCCTTTTTAAAGCAATATAATCCGTTTTTAGATAGCTTTTTGGGCATAAACAGTATAAGATTCCAGAAAATTTTTAAGAGTAAGCTTTCTTGCGCTTAAAAAGAGTGTAAGCAAAGTAAAGTAAGTAAAGTAAGCTTTTAAAAGTAAGCTCTTCGTTACAGCTACTTTCTGTCACAAAAGTTACCTTTTCCAAAGTGGCGACCAAATAGAAAGTGGAGAAATCACGAATGTAGGTAAAATTCGTGGTGATTTGCACGTTTACAAGAGGACAATCCTCAAAAGTCGCCACATTGCACGAGTTCATTGCTTCGGCCGAACACACAAAACCGAGCTCGAACTGGAAACTTGGAACGTGAAGGCAAAACTTTGAGCTTTAAAGTCTTCTTTTGATCTTTAAAGTCTTCTTTTGACATTTTTCTATAGTCAATTAGTCTTCTAATAGGTTCTCATTGCCTTTTATCTTTTCAAAAAACATTAGAAATTGCTCAACTTCATTGAACTCACCGGATTCATGCAAGTCTCATCATTGAAACTGATCAATTTTCCATCTTTTCGAGTGTTGATTGCTTGCGTTGGAGCGTTCATATGAGAGAAGCTCTTATTTTCAATGTTGAACGTTCCAATGTCAATGATCTGAATTTCGTATTTGACGCTTTTCTCGCTAAACTACTTAAGATTACTTAAGATCGTAAGATTCGTAAGTAAACGTAACTCCTTTCTTTCTTCTCCAACGAGTTACTTACTTCAACAGTTACTATTTTATAATTAGAATTGATGGCGAATCGTTTCGAGAGCTGTTCGAGCGCTTTTAGACTTGATTTAGATTTTTCCGTTAGCTGCTTAACCGGCTTAACCGTTAGCTGCTTAACGTTAGCTGCTTAACGTTAGCTGCTTAACGTTAGCTGCTTAACGCTAGCGTGCTTACCGTTAGCTGGTAACTGAACGTTGGCTGCTTTAGCAGCAGCTTAACGTTAGCGGAAGCTGCCTCACCGGCTTAACCCTTAGCTACTTAAACTGAGTCTTTTGGTAGCTGTCTTTTGTTAGTAAGCTGTCCCAATTTTTGGGAACTGCTGCTGCTTAACCGGCTTAACCGTTAGCTGCTTAACGTTAGCTGCTTAACGTTAGCTGCTTGCTTAACCGTTAGCTGCTTAACGTTAGCTGCTTAACCGTTAGCTGCTTGCTTAACCGTTAGCTGCTTAACGTTAGCTGCTTAACGTTAGCTGCTTAACGTTAGCTGCTTAACGTTAGCGGAAGCTGCCTCACCGGCTTAACCGTTAGCTACTTAAACTGAGTCTTTTGGTAGCTGTCTTTTGTTAGTAAGCTGTCCCAATTTTTGGGAACTGAGCAAAACAGTGCCGTGTATAAACAGTCCAAAATAATGCAAAATAATTAATTTTTTTTTGTGTTTCTTATTTTCATTAAATGTAGAAAAAAAACTTAGCTATCTGCTAAAGTTAAAATTAAAATTTTAGTTAAAATTAGCGATCTATTGAGCCGTTTAGAACAATTCTGAGATGAGAGAGAGAATGCCAAAAAAAATAAACGAGAAAATGCTCAAAAAGAGGTTAACTGAGCTTTTCTTGACATTATGATGAGTTGATGTTTCTAACTAAGGAAATGCAACAGATCAAGAAGCTCTGCAATGAGCTTCTTGATCTGTTGCAAGATCAAGAAGTTGCAAAGATCTGTTGTAAGATGCGCTTCTGTTTTAAGTGATCTCAAAGTAGCATTTTTCTTTTACTTTACTAAATCAAACCTGTTCAACATCTCCATAGAAACGATCCATAATCGAGGGCACACAAATCTCCATCATCACTCCGTTTTCTTCACAGTAAAGAGGACGAACGCGCATCGACTGAAAAAAAAACAAAATTAGCTATTTTTGAACAAATTTTTGAAGAGTTTTATAAAGATTAAAAGCTCTGGCTTCAAATCTAAGTTGATAGTTGTAGTCTAGTTTAAATCTAGGTTGATAGTTGTCGACTGAAGACTTCCCTAAAAGAAAAACAAGCTTTATAGAGGATTAATAAATAAAAGCAGTTCTTAGCCAAGAAACCTTTTGAACAAAGAGTTTTTCCAGATCCCATCCACCAGTGAAACCAGCTGCGTTGAGGAGGTGCTGAAACTTTATATGCAATGGAATCTCAAAATTCTATAATTCTATACAAAAAGCTTATTATAAGAATAAATTGCTTTTAACAGTAGCTTTTAGCAGTAGCTTTTAGCAGTAGGTTTTATCTGTAGCTGAGCTTTTAACAGTAGCTTTTAGCAGTAGCTTTTAACAGTAGCTTTTAGAATTGCTTTTAGCAGTAGCTTTTAACAGGATCGCTTTTAGCAGTAGCTTTTAACAATAGCTTCCAGCAGAATTGCTTTTAGTACAATAGCTTTTAGTTAATTTAAAAAAGTTTTGTCAAAAACTTGTGGAGTGAACTGAATTGTATGATTCTATACAAAAAGCTTATGATATTATAAGAATAAATTGCTTTTAACAGTAGCTTTTAGCAGTAGCTTTTAGCTAATTTAAAAAAAGTTTTGTCACAAACTTGTGGAGTGGCTCCGTGACTCATATTGATTTTGTTGAGGTAGAACATGTTCTCCATTTCTTCATTGAACATATCGAGGCTCATCTCAGCAGCGAATGGGCAATTGCTGAGAATTTAGAACTTGTTCTTCTTTTTTTTCTAGCAGATACCAGATGGTTCAGTGGTTAAAGGATCTGCCTGAGAAGCAAAAAAAGCCGAGAGTCAGTTCAATTCCCTCTCCAGCTCTTACTTTTCCATTTTATGATTATGATTTTAGATTAAATTATGATTAATGATGGATATGATTATGATTAAACTTTATGATTAAACTTTATAATTAAATATTTTAGACATTCAAGAAGAAAAGTAGTTGATTTTTGAGTTCACCAACATTTTCAACGTCTCCGCAGCAAAATCGTAGACTCTATTGGTTCCTTTGCTTTCGACTTCTTTCCGATGCTCTGAATTCAACTTTGCACTAGTTTTTTTTAGTTTTTAAGTAGTCAAACACTTGTTCTAGCTAATTTAACATTGATTTTCATTTAATGATTTCAAAGAACCAAAGGATATGATGAAATTCTCAGTATCATTTTAAAATTCAATGCAACTAATTAAGATTCAATGGACTTTCCAGGGAAACTTTAAACGAGCTTGAGAGGAGCTTTAAACGAGCTTTAAACGAGCTTGAGAGGAGCTTTAAACGAGCTTGAGAGGAGCTTTAAACGAGCTTGAGAGGAGCTTGAGAGGAGCTTTAAAGGAACTAAATAGGAACCATAAAGGAACTAAATAGAAACTGTAAAGAAACTATAAAGGAACGATAAAGGAACTATAAAGGAACTATAACTACTGAAATTTATCTTTAAGCTTTATTAATTGTAATTAAATTAATTAAATTAATTGAATTAAATGTTTCATTAAGGATGAATTTATTAAGAATTTAACCTTTAACAAACCTTCAATGAGTGGAATTCGACGGCAGAAACGCTGCAGAGATCTCTTGAAAAGTGTGTATCGCTCGAAATCTGGAGTGGTGAAGTTCCATTGAGCGTTCATGCATTGTCGAGCTTTGCTGATCCTGAAATGCTAGTTTAGCACTTCTTTCAAGTTTATCACTTCTTCAACTCTTGAATTAACATTAAAATTCAAACTCACATTGCTCCAAAGTCAGTGTTTTGCGTGAGAATGCGTCCATTCACCAATTTCGGTTTGGTGAATTCCACGGCCACCGCAGTGCATATCAAGAGAAAGAATGCTTTCCAAAACATCTATAAAAAGATATATATATGTTGTGTCCGATTTAGATTCAATCTAAATATTGGGTTGGGGAGAATGAGTCGGCGCCGAACTTTAAAGGGACTTTTTGCACACATAAAGCCTTCTTTAAACATACGTTTGGTTTCATCAAAAGGATCCACTATTTCTCTACAAAATCACTTTTGAGAGATTCCACAAAGCTTTTCTTTCGTGGAGTTTATGAACTTCCAAACGCAGCTGGTTAAAATGGCAAAGAGTCCGACTCATCATTTGAACGGTTTCTTTCACATAAACCTTCTTTAGTGTTTATATAAAAAAGATAGAGCACATTCAATTACTTAAGCTGCCAAATTTGCAGGAAGATCCCACCAATGGTTTTTTCTAGATCACAGTTTGTAGTTTTTGTGAAAAAATGGCTTTTTCTTGAGCGGAGGCGCTGTTTGAATTTTCTTTTAAATGTCATTTTGTAGAGAATTAGTTAACCATTCTACTCATATCAAACGCATATTATTTGACGAAGTCGAATAGAAGTTTTAGACATTTTTTCATTTTCGGCGCCGACTCATTCTCCCCAACCCAATAGATTGAACATACGTCTTGTATAGATTGAGCAATAATATAAACATGCTTAATATATGTTCTTAAGCGTTTTCTGTAGTTTTCTGCATCTTTCCAAGGTCTTTTATTGATTACAGTCTATATCGGACGTCCGATACAGATCGAACAATAATAAACGTGCTTAAGATATGTTCTTAAGCGTTTTTTTGCAATTTTCTGCGCTTTTCAAAGAAATTTTATTGTCTTTTTTTGAGAATTTTTTGTTTTCTTGTTTTCCTATTAAATGCTGCTTTTTTTACAGATGGAGGACCTTTTTGACCAAGAATTTGGCGTGTTTTTACAAAAGAAGAAAAGAGGACAAATTCCAACCGCTGAAGCCTACAATTTGATGGTTGAAACGTTCCACAATCATCGTGAAAACTGCGAGAAACCAAAACTACCACAAAACTACCACGAAAACAACTTGCTGAAAAGATTTGCGCTCGTGATTGAACAAAAGGGAGCGCAGCTTTATCATGTGGGCGAGGAAAATGGCAGCGGAGAGATGCCAGCACATTTATATTATTGTTCAATCTATATAAGACGTACTATTGTTCAATCTATATAAGATTTAGATTGAATCTAAATCGGACGGAAATCTAAATCGGACACAACATATAAAAAGATCTCTATAAAATCTTCCTTAAAAGAAAAACAAGATTTCTAGAAGGATAATAAATAAAAGCAGTTCTTGGCCATGAAATAGATAAAATGACATTGCTGGGTCACAGCCAGAGAGGCTCGTAAACTCGGCAGATGGTCAATGGTGATAGCGGTGGGATAAGAGGCGGTCATGATATCAATTGCATCAAATAAATGCCTCTAGCCAAAGTTGCGCAATGTCTCAGCAAAGATTTTCAGAATCTAAAATGTATATTGAGCCAAAAATCAAAAAAAAAGAACAACTTTTAGACAGATGTTTGAGTGAGAAATCTCAAAATTCGTTCTTTGATCAGTTCACTTTGAAATCATTGATCCAAAAATGGAAAACTACGGTAAATCCCGGCATTTTCATTGCTAAAATTGTCTGAATAAAAGATATTCTTAAAAATCTGTACTTTTGAGTTGAAAACAGGCCAAAAGCGGTATCTCTTATTGAAAGGAATGAAAATGAAAGGGAACGAAATCAGCGCTCACATATCTTTCGAAAAATAAAAGATTCCAAGCCTCAACTAATAGGTGTTGTATACTGTTCAAAAGCCTTGAATCTCCTCTATAAAATAATGGAATAAGATTTTGAATTGAATTGATTATTGGGGACTTGGGTGACTTTTGAGTTGAAAGATCAAAAATGATCATTTTCTGAAAAATTTCTTTCTTTCATTTCATTAAAATATAAAAATCTTGTGTAAATTTGAACGCTGTTTGATTTTTATTTTGCAGTTTTAGCTGTTATTATGCACAACATCTAAAATGTACTTTCTGGACTCGAAATGTTGTCTCTTAACTTTTAAAATTTAATTCTCAAAAGAAAAACTCAAATTCTAACCAGTGATTAAGAATTTTCTGATTTTCTGATAAAGGATTTTCCTCTTACCTGCATTCTAAAAGACCCATAAAGTCGTAGATTTTTTTCTAAAGCATTTTAATTTTAACTCGGTGAAATGGCCCAGTGGATAGTGCGCGGTCAAAAACTAAATACAGTAATGAATTAGCTAAATATTAGGTTGGCAACTTAATAATGACGCGTCACTACTTAACATGTTTTTTGTAATTTCAAGCGCCGTTTCTTCCCTCTTTTTTTGCATATATACAAAGTAAAAGATGTCTACATAAATAACATTTAGTGCTCCAAATTTCATCATTTGCTTTTTGGCAAAAAATGGAGGACAAAAAATTCCGTATTCGAGCTTCATTGTTCTACGATTTTAAACAAGGAAAATCACCAGCTGAATCTCATCGCACGATCATCACTGTTTTTGGGAAGAAAAGTATACACATTCGGCAATGTCAACGATGGTTTCAAAGATTCCAAGGCGGCGATGAAAGCCTCGTAGACGAGCCACACCAAGGACATCCTCCAGAAGTGGTCGACGATGACTTGCTCGCCTTAATTGAAGATTGCCCAACACTCACCGTTCGTGAGTTGGCAGAAATATTTGAAGTATCCCATACGACAATCAAAAACTATTTACACAAACTTGGGAAAAGAATCGAGTTGGAAAATGGGTTCCTCACGAACTGACCCAAAGCAACAAAATGTCGCCTCAATTTTGCTACAAAAATGTAAATCAAACGACTTTTTTCACAGGGTTTTGACTTCTGACGAAACGTGGATCAACTACGAGAACGTTAAACGCAAAAATCAATGGCTATCTGCTGGGCAGACCCCTTAAACCACTCCCAAACCTGATATCCATGAGAAGAAGATAATGCTCTGTTGCTGGTGGAACTTCAAGGGATTGGTGCATTATGAAGTGCTGAAACCTGGCCAAACCGTCGATGCTGATCTTTATTCGAAGCAATTAATGAGAGTTAACGAGTCTTCGAAGAAATTGGGGCTCAAACCGGAGAGAGTCAGATTTTTACACGACAACGCAAAACCTCACACTGCAAAGATCACTTATAAGAAAATCGAGGAACTTGGCTGGAAAGTTTTGCCCCACGCGTCTTATTCACCTGATCTGGCTCCTTCAGATTACTTTTTGTTTCGGTCGCTGAAGCACTTTTTGGAGGGAGAAAAGTTCGATGATCATGCTCAGGTCATAAAAGCAGTGAATGACTACTTCGCCTCAAAAACTCCCAAGTTCTTCGAGTATGGGATCCGGGATTTGCGCAGAAGATGGGAAGAAGTCATAGATACTAATGGAGAATACCTTTCGAATTGAAAGCTCTTCTTTTGTGTTTTTTTGAAATAAATGATTTGTTACATAAACGCGTCATTATTAAGTTGCCAACCTAATACAAACGACGATGTTCTTATGCACAACATCGTCGAGATCGATTCGGCCGAGTGCTTCTTCGTTGACGAGTGTCGTTTCGCTTCAACGATCTCTCCACGATCGATCATCTGTGCCGAGAGTTGTCGATGATCATGAAAAGAGTCGCTGGAAGGTTGGTGACTTGGTATTATCAGTTTCGGAGCTTTACTAGTAATACGGGTTGGTTCTTTTACTTACCAAGGCAAATTCCAGGACTAACCACAGAATTGGATGGAATTTGGAAGGCTCTCCGAACTTCGAGACTCCTATCTGGAAGGTCAACCAGTCCTTGCGCCACAATGGAATCAAAATTGAAATAAAACGATTTTCTCC